CCGCTCGTGCAGAGGCCACGCCAGCGCAGAGCCCTCGGCTGCAGGGCCCAGGGAAGAGCCGAGGCAGCCGTCCAGGTCAGCACAGGCTGGGGCACAGGTCAGGCCACCAGCCCCACAGGACAGGGCAAAGCCCCGGCCCAGCTCATTCTGACGCCTGTGGTGTCCTCACCCAGGAGCCACACCGGGCACCCCCACCCCCACCGCCACCGGGAGCCCAGGAGGCGGGGCACAGGGAAGCCCGCCGCCCGTGTGGCCACATACCTTCTCCTCCTTGCTGACGGAGCTGTGGCGGGCCACCCTCTCCATCCGGCCCACATAGACAGCACAGTCCCTCTCGATTTCCTTCAGCTCCTCCAGGGAGAAGATGACCGAGATGCGAGGGACCGGGATGTTGGACCAGCAGAGGTAGTGCTGCCAGCAGAGAGAGCGCCGCGGTGAGCCGCACAGCAGGGCAGGAGGGGGTTCTCAGACAGCTCACTGCTGAACCCGGGCACATCGCCCCAGCCGCAGGAGGCGTCTCAGACGCCCCTGCCTGGACCCTGTAACACAGGACTGACGCCCTGCAAACAGCCTTTCAGAAGCTCTGGTCTCTGGGGCCAGCGCTGTGGTATAGCAGGTTAGGCTCCATCTGAGGCGCCGGTTCAGTGCCACCTGCTCCTCGCTCCTCTTCCGACCCAGATCTCTGCACTGGCCTGGGAAAGCAGGGAAGGATGGTCCACGTGCTTGGGCCCTGCACCTGCGTGGGAGACTCAGAGGCAGCGCCTGGCTCCTGGCTTTGGATCGGCTTGTCTCTGGCCGTTAGGACTATTTGGGGAGTGAACCAGTGGAGCAGACTTTTCTCTCCCTCTCTCTGTTTATAGTTTTGCCTCTTGAATAAATAATCTTAACCAAAAAAAAAAAAAAAAACACCTTCCACCTGCAGTGCCAGCATCCCATGTGGGCGCAGGTTTGAGTCCTGGCTGCTCCACTCCTGATCCAGCTCTCTGCTGTGGCCTGAGAAAGCAGTGGAAGATGGCCCAACTCCCTGGGCCCCTGCACCCATGTGGATGACTGGGAAGAAGCTCCTGGCTCCTGGATTCGGATTGGAACAGCTCCAGCCGCCGTGGCCATTTGGGGAGTGAACCAGTGGATGGAAGACCTCTCTGTCTGTAACTCCGCCTCCCAAGTCTTTAACAGACAGCAGCCTTGACCTCTGTCTCCTAGGTGTGAGGGAACGCGGGCTCGCCCGGCCTCCCCTGCACAGGCCCAGCTGTGTGGAGCTGGGAGGCCCTCACCCGCGGACAGCACAGCTTCAGCAGGTTGACGGTCTTCCCACAGACATACACGTCGTGGGCGATGTGCCGCAGGAACACGGGCACGCAGTCCTCCACCTCTTTGGAGATGAGCACGTAGCCATGGGTCCAGTAAAACTTGTCTGCAGGTGGGGCGGAACACATGGGTGGCTGAGACGGCGACCGCCGACCCCGGGCCCACGGCACAGAGCCCAGCCCAGCCGCTGCCACGCACCTCTGAAGCCGAGGTACTCGTGGTTCACCTGGATCATGAACTCCCCATAGAAGTCTCTGAAGACCCCGCTGTACACCCAGTCATGGATGAACCTGCGGGGCCAGCAGGGGTCAGGGGCGAGGCGGGCACGCCCCTCGTGTGCACAGCCCACCCCGCCGTGCCGGGCAACCCACCGCGTGTAGGGCTCGCAGCTCGTCTTCAGCAGGGACAGCAGCACCGGGTAGTGCTCGTTGCTGCAGTTGTCCAGGGCCTCCTGGTAGAGGTAGGACAGCAGCTTCACGCCCTGCGGAGGGCAGGGGAGGCCAGTCAGTCCACAGGGCCGCACACCAAGGGGCCACACTCAGCCCCCCTCCTGGGGCTGACCAGGCCACCACACTCAAGGACGCAGACACACAACTCACAGTAGGAAATGCAGCCTTGGGTCCTCCTCCACTGGTCCCTGGGAGCGCGGTGCCCACGCCACAGAGCTCAGCCAGGTACCTGGACCAGAGACCGCGTCAGACCAGGGGAGACAGCCCATCTTCCAGGATGCCTGTCCGGTCCCGTGCCCCTGCGCTGCCCACCTAGACGTCCCTGACATACCCACCTGACCTGTGACCCTTCCAGCTCCTCCTGACTCACAACTGCTCACCCCACACCTAGAACCCCACCTCTCCACCTCCAGCTCATGCCTACTCAGGCCGGGACGACCAAACCCCCAAAGGCCCCTCACCACTTCCACACAACGGAGCCATAGGACACCCCCTTCCCTAGGCCCCACCTCCCCCACCACCTCTGACAACCAGCCCTGGGGGCCCCACACCCTCACAGCTCCCACCTCCCCAGTGGCCCGCAGCCCCCCACTCTCATGTCTCTGGACACTCACCAAGGGACAGCCAGCTGGTGGGCACCAGAGGCCACGTCCATGAGATACTACTGCTGCCTGGGAAGGAGCCCAGGGGCCTCCGCTGGGCTCACAAGCAAGGACTGCTCTCACAGCCCCCTGCCAGGCAGCAGAGCTGGCCCCCACACGGCCCCCGGCCAGGCAGCTGAGCTGGCCCCCACTGCCCCCCCCACACAACTCCCTGAAGTCCAGGTTAGCTCACCTGAGCTGCCGGCCCAGTTTCTTGAAAAGAAAGCCAATGGTGAGGAGGCTCAGGGTGGGCGGGGTGGAGAGGGCGCAGGCCCGGTAATACTGCAGGTACCTCCTGAGGCCACTGGTGAAGGCCTGCGGGAGGGAGAGGGCTGGGAGGAGCCGGGACACCGGCATGGCCACGGCTCCCAGGTGCTGGGGAAGGGTTCTGCCTCCACATCGCACGAGCAGCGGGCACCTGCCAGCCAGGTCCAGCCGCACTAGCCCAGCTGTGAGTGAGGACAACCCCCAAGATCCTGTCCTTGCAGGGACACTGGCACCAGGGACCCGGGGAGCGACGCTGGGGAAGGCAGCTGGACCTGGGCACAGGCGCTCTAACTGCCTGGCCACAGGGCCTGTGGGTACCAGCACCCTAAGCCACACACAGCCCTCAGGCCATGCTGAGACTACGACACCAGGAGCACAGCTCTACCACCAACCCCAGGAGCTGTCTGTTTGGGCCTGTCTGGGCACACCTCCCAGAGCCCACCCTGCTCAGCTTCCCCTCACTGGCCCCACTGCCAGCCTGGGTGCCCAGTCTGACCCCTCCCCACTGGCTGCAGCCCTCAGGGTTCCTCCTTTACACCGGTCCCACTGCACCCACCTCCCCAGCCCACCTGTCTGAAGTCTAACCCTCATCACATCCCTCTGCCCCAGTAAGGTGTCGCAGCCCCCAAGCTGAAGGCACCTCACGCAGCCCAGCTCCTCCAGCCCCACAGCTGCCCTTCTCGTAGGCACACCTGTCCTCACATGGCCAAGCCTGCACGCGCCTGTGGGCTCCTTCTCAGCACCTGAAGGTGCAATCCGCAGGAAGAAACAGTGGCGGGAGGCAGCCTCGCTCGGCACAGAAGCCGACATTCGAGCGCCTACGCATCGACCCAGGAGCTGCCCCCTGCCTGCACCTGCCCTGCAGTACCTCCTCCTCCCTGCAGGTCTCCCAACACTGCCCACACCTGCCTCCTTCCACCCATGGCCCAGACGTGTGTACCGCGTTTCCTGAGGACACAGAGGGAGGCTGCCGTGTACACAGCTCTCGTGGAGCCAAGGGCCGCACCTGGAACACGAGGCCCTTGCTGTAAGCAGAGTCTGAGACGGGCTGCAGCGAGAATCGGCTCAGGCGCATGTAGCAGGTGCCGTACTCGGCCACCTCCGAGAGCAGGCTGCCGACGCTCTCAGGGGACGCTCCCGACACGTGGACGCCGCGCTTCACCACGAAGGCCTGTGTGAGCTGCAGGGCAGGGCACGGGGGCCGTGGACCCTCAGGGTGCAGCCATCCACGCACCCAATCATCACCCTGCCCACTGGGCCCCCAAGACCCTCCAACAGCAAGCTCCCAAAGCAAAAAGCAAACACCAGATTTATTTATCTGAAAGGCAGAGCTACAGAGGAAGAGAGAAATCATCCACCGGTTCACTCCTCAAATGGCCACAAAGACCAGGCCGAAGCCAGGAGCCAGGCACTCCATCAGGGTCTCTCACGTGGGTGCAGGGGCCCAAGCACCTGGCCATCTTCCACTGCCTTCCCAGGCTATTAGCAGGGAGCTGGATGGGAAGGCATGAGCTCCCGAACGGGACACTGACGACAAAAGCAGCTTAACCTGTGCGCCACAACGCCCACCCCACCCAGACACCCTTCCCGCGGCAGAAGCCATCACAGCTGAAAATGCAGCTCCCAGGGGCGTGGCGAAGGCGGCAGTGGAAGCTGAGCCAGAGACCTGTCGTGGCAGGTTCCCCACAGCACTGCCCTCACAACGAAAGCAGGGGAGGTGGCGAAAGCAGTGCCGAGCCGGGCGGGGGTGGTACAGCCGTAGATGCCTGCACCAAAACAGAAGATGCGTGTGGCAGCCGGTGCTGCGGCACAGTGGGTTATGCTGCTGGCAAAGCCAGCATCCAGTCAGAGCGCCAGGGTGACTCGGGGCTGCTCGGCTTCCAATCCAGCTTCCCGCTAACGTACCTGGGAAGCAGCACACACCGGCCCAGGGACTTGGGTTCCTGCCACCCGTGAAGCAGATCAGGATGGAGCTCCTGGCTCCTGGCTTGAGTCCTAAGCAGACCTGGATGTTGAGGCCATTTGGAAAGTGACACAGGGGATGGAAGATACCTCTCTTTCTTCCTGTAACTCTGCCTTTCAAGTAAGTAATATCTAAGTCTTTATTAAAATCCTCAATAAAATACTTATAAACCGAAGCCAACAGAACAGTAGCAGGGTCACAAGCCATGGCGAGGTGTATTCCAGGAAACTGGGAAAACTCAGCATAGAGCAGCCCACCAGTCACCCTGACCGGGAGAGGGGAAATCAGTGAAGAACAAGCATTTAACAAAACCCAGCACCCTTACCAGAGAAAACACTCCAGGAACTAGGAATGCTCATCAAAGAGAATTTGCTCAACATAAGGGCCACACGTGAAAATCCTACAACAGGGCCAGTGCTGTGGCGCAGCAGGTTAACGCCCTGGACTGAAGTGCCGGCATCCCATATGGGTCCTGGTTCTAGTCCTGGCTGCTTCTCTTCCCATCCAGCTCTCTGCTACGGCCTGGGAAAGCAGTAGAAGATGGCCCAAGTCCTTGGGCCCCTGCACCCGCATGGGAGTCCCGGAAGAAGCTCCTGGATCCTGATCAGCACAGCTCCAACTGTTGCGGCCATCTGGGGTGAGAACCAGCAGATGGAAGACTTCTTCCCCTCTCCCTCTCTCTCTCTCTGCCTCTCCTCCTCTCTCTGTAACTCTTTCAAATAAATGAATAAATCTTTTTAAAAAATCCTATAACAAACACCAAACTCAATGATGAAAAACTGCAAGCATTTCCCTTAAGTTCAGAAATAAAACATGGGGCAGGAGTTGTGGCTCAGTGGCTTCAGCCGTCATGTGCAACGCCTGCGTCCCATATCGGAGTGCCTGGTTCAAGCTCCGGCTACTGGGCTTTAACGCAGCCTCCTGCTGATGCACGGAGTTGCAGCAGGTGGCGGGCCAAGTGCTTCAGCCCCTGCCACTCACGTGGAGACCCAGATGGGGTTCATGGCTCCTGGATTTGGCCTGGCCCAGCCCCACCAAATAAAGTAAAACATGCTTTAGAAAAAAGACAAGGATGCTTGCTGCTGGACTTATATTCAATATAATACTGGAGGGACCAGCACTGTGGCGTAGCAGGTATGAGCACAGGTTCATGTCCCAGCTGCTCCACTTCCAATCCCGCTCCCCCTGCGTATGTGCCTGGAAAAGCAGCGGAAGACGGCCCAAGCGCTTGGGCCCATGCACCCACATGGGAGACGCAGAGGAAGGTCCTGGCTCCTGGTTTCAGCCTTGCTCAGCCCTGGCCATTATGGCCATTTGGGGAGTGAATCAGTGGATGGAAAACCCCTCTCTCTCTCTCTCTCTCTCCCTTGCCCTCTCTGTAACTCAAGTCTTTGGGCCCCTATCACCTATGTGGAGACTCAGATGGAGTTCCAGACTCCTGGCTTCAGCCTGGCCCAACCCTGACCATTGCAGCCATTTGGGGAGTGAACCACCAGATGAAAGATCTCTCTCTCTCTCTCTCTCTCTCTCTCTCTCTCTCTCTGTGCCTCTGCCTCTTTGTAACTCTGCCTTTCAAATAAAATAAATAAATTTTAAAAAGGAGTGTGTGGTGTTTATAAAACAAATTCAGTAAACCTACAGGCTACAAGATTAATACACAAAAAACGACCGTATTGCTATACACCAAAAATGAAAATCTGAAAAAAAGTTAAGAAAATTTAATTCACATTAGCAACAGCAAAAACACAACATTTAGAGATAAATTTAGCCAAGGAAGTAAAAAGTTCTCACACTGAAAACGATACATTACTGAAAGCAACTAAGACTAAGTACACGGACACACGAGTGAACGGCAGTGACCCACGGTCTCAACCCGGTCCCTATCAAGTCTTATTTTTTTAAGATTTATTTATTTGAAAGGCAGAGTTACAGAGAGGCAGAGGCAGAGGCAGAGAGAGAGGTCTTCTATCCGCTGGTTCACTCCCCAGATGGTCGCAACAGCCAGAGCTGCACTGATCCGAAGCCAGGAGCCAGGAACTTCCTCTGGGTCTCCCACGTGGGTGCAAGGGCCCAAGGACTTGGGCCATCTTCCAGTGCTTTCCCAGGCCATAGCAGGGAGCTCGATTGGAAGTGGAGCAGCCGGGCCGGCGCCATGGCTCACTTGGTTTATCTTCCACCTGTGGCGCCGGCATCCCATATGGGCACCGGGTTCTAGTCCCGGTTGCTCCTCTTCTAGTCCAGCTCTCTGCTGTGGCCTGGGAAGGCAGTGGAGGATGGCGCAAGAGCTTGGGCCCCTGCACCCGCATGGGAGACCAGGAGGAAGCACCTGGCTCCGGGCTTTGGATCAGCATAGTGCCAGTCATGGTGGCCATTTGGGGGGTGAACCAATGGAAGCAAGACCTTTCTCTCTGTCTCTGTCAAATAAAAAAAAAAAAAAAAAAAGGAAGTGGAGCAGCTGGGATTTGAACCAGCACCCATATGGGATGCCACCACTGCAGGCAAAGGCTTTACCCACTACGCTACAGCACCAGCCCTGACCTATGAAGTCTTAACAGCATTTTTTGCAGAAACAGAAAAATCTATCCTAAAATTCATATAGGACCTCAAGAGACCCCAAATATCCGTCAGTCTTGAAAAGGAAGAATTTAGCTGGAGGATTCAGACTTCCCCAGTTCAAAGCCCCTGCAAACCTACAGTCACCAGAACAGCGCAGCACCAGGGCAGGCGCCTGGCAGGAAGCGACGACGCACTCGGAAGTCCTGCAGCCCAGCCCCAGGGTCCCGCCCCCTGCTGGTGCACACCTGGCAGGCACAGGTGATGGCGCAAGTAGTTGGGTCTCTGCCACCCTGAGTAGGACCTGGAGAGAGTTCTGGACTCCTGGCTATGGCACGCCCTAACCCCAGCTATTAAAGGCATTTGCAGTAAAGCAGCCAACAGAAGAACTCTGCCTCCTTGTCTGTCTCTGTGTGTCTCCCCACCTTTCAAATAAAAAGAAAATAAGAATGTAGAATAACATAACCTTGCGGTACTCATAGGTCAGACACACAAACGGAACAGAGCGCAGAAATAAACTCTCAGGTTCAGTCAGCTGATCTGCAGCAAGGACGGCACATGCAGGACGAGGTCAGCCCTCTCCCCAGAACGGGCTGCCGTCTCACTGAAGACTGCGACCTTATTTCTATTAAGTTTCTGAAAGGATGTGGATGGGGCAGGCACTGAGGCGGAGTGCACACCACATGCCACGCTGGAGCCCCGGCTACTCCACTTGTGACCCAGCGCCCAGCTAATGCACCCTGGGAGACACAGATGCTCGGGCCCTGCACCCACGCGGGAGACCTGGATGGAGCTCCTGGCTCCTGGCTTCAGCCTGGCCCAGCCCTGGCTGCTGTGGGCATCTGGGAAATAAGCCAGCAGATGGAAGATCTCTTTCTCTGTCACTCTGCCTTTCAAATAAATAATAACTCTTAACAAAAAAGATTTATTTATTTAAAGGCAGAGTGACAGGGAAAGAGAGAGGGAAACAGATCTTCCATCTGCTGGTTCACTCCCCAAATGGCCACCGGAGCTGGGTCTCCCATGCGGTGCAGGTGCCTGCTTTCCCAGGCACACTAGTAGGGCGCTGGAAGGAAATGAAGCAGCCGCGACTTGAATCAGCGTGCACACGCGATGCTGGCCCTGCAGGCGGCCTCTTGCTCATTATGCTACAATGCCAGTCCCTCGAATAAATCAATCTTAAAAGATATTTTCAAACAAAATGAGAGGACCGGCTGTAACCAGCAGCAGCCTGCGGAGCCGGCCTTCCCTGTACTCCTGCACAGGGCCTCACCCCCACCCCATGAAGTGCTCCGGCCTTGCTTGGCACACGGCAAGCTATCCACACGGGACAGCCCCACAGCCGCGCGTGCGTCCTACCTGGCAGAGGGAGAACGAGGCGGACACGACGCCGATCAGGATGTTGAGCACGTCCTTCACCAGCTCGCGCTCCTCCACCTGCAGGGGCACCGGGGCCTGCAGGAGGCCCCCGCTCAGCACCTGCAGGTCCCCTTGGCGGAGCCTGCAGAACTTGTCAAAGGCATCCCTGCCCGCCTCGGTGAGGTAGGGCTCCTCTCTGTGGCCAGGAGGGCTGTGAGGAGACAGAGGAGGGTGAGCAGACGGAGCGAAAAGCTCTGTGCGCGCATGAACAGGAGAGAGCGAATCAAAACAACACCATGTGAGGAACACCGACCAACAGCCCACCTTGCAGCTGGCTCAGCCAGGCTCTGCGCTGGCCCTGAGCAAGGCCATCGGGACAGCTGTGCAGAAGCGTGTCCAGGGCACATGCCTGGGGTCCAGGGAGCAGAAGGAGTGCCCCCACCAGTCCAACCAGAAGAGTGGCCGTGGCCCACACCAGCGGTCCTTGGGCTGACAACTTAATCAACATATTCTTACTTTAGAAATAAACCCAAGTCATGGACAAAATGTGATCTGTGCACACGGTGGGATTTTCAGTTTTAGAAAGAAAGAATAAAGAGCCGGCACTGTGGCACAGCGGGTTAGGCTGCTGCCTGTGTTCCTGGCATCCCACATGGGTGCCAGTTCACGCACCAGATGCTCCACTTCCAACGCAGCTCCCTGCTATGGCCTGGGAAAGCAGCGCAAGATGGCTCAAGTGCTTGGGCCCCTGCCATCCATGGAGACCCAGAGGAAGTTCCTGGAAGGTGGCACTGGCCACGTCCGCTGCCTCAGACACGGCTGGAGGGAGGCCAGTCCAGAGCCCAGACCTCTGAGTGCAAGAGGGAGTGAAGAAAGGAACACCCCCTTGCAGTCCTCTGGTCACCCCAAGGAGGACCTCAGGACAGCTGCGCAGGTCATGGGCGCCACCTCACTGCCCACCACCCATGCTGCCCAGGTCCCCCGTGACGGCTGGCGGAGCAGACCACAGAGCCACAGGCAGTACCCCAGGCCACTGAGTGGGAACAACAGATCCCCACACGCGCCCACAACCCTCAACGCTTCCCCCAGTCGGGTGACAGAGAATCCAACCACTGCAGCCTCTGAAAGACTCAGCTGCGGCCCACAGCCTCCCACAACCTCCGGATGACAAGGGGAGGGTGCCCCTGATGGGGTCGTAAGGCGAGCGCCAAGTGTGTCTTGGAGTGTGCGTGAACAGGCAGAAGCTTCTGCCAGAGGAGGGATTTAAACAGAAACAGGCTCAAAAATCTGCCAAATGAACTTGGGCCACAGCCTCAGGGTGGCCCACCTGCAGTGCCAGGGGTCTTAGGACCAGGCTTACAACCAGAGTGGGCTGTGGAGGACCCTGGGAGGCGAACTCTGGCCGAGCCGCTACGTGGCTATGTGTGTGTGATGGCGGCTGTGCACCTGCTGACCCCGTCTTCAACTCTACTCAGCAGGTCACTGGGCACGCTGCCTCCAGTCGTGAGTTCTTACAACCTCACGTGGCGCTAGCATTGGTCTGAATGTGAGGCTGGACATTCCCAGCACAGCAGGGCTCAGTCACCACCGACAGCGTCTACTTCCACCCCCAAGCTCCTCACTGTGGTCCACACAACAGCTGACCCCAGTGTCCTCCTCCCGCTGCCCTCACCCCACTGACCGCCTGTCACTGCTTGAGTCACCCCCACCTCCAGAACCTGTGCCCACTGCTGGAAAGCCACCAGCGAGAACAGCCCCTGGCAAACCTGTCAGATCACACCCTGGACTCCACAGCGGTGCCGCCTCAGGCCCTGGAGCACTTGCACTCTCGCTCCATGACTTCCCTGGCCTAAGAAAGTCTGCATTCCCATCTGTGTGTCCCCCAACGGCTGAAGGTGCCCCCATCCGAACGTCCTAAATTAAAACACCAGGGGAGCCCTGGCTGTGGTCCTCACGGGAAACCACCAGGTGTCCCTCAGTGCTGGGGGGACAGCAAGAGGACCAGTGCATTCACAACAGGTGATGAGCACAGTCGCTTGGTGGGCAGTCTCATCTCCTCAACACTGACCCAAAAACAGGACCTGGGGCCGGCACTGTGGCACAGCAGGTTAAAGCCCCAGCCTGAACGCCAGCATCCCTTATTGGCACTGGTTCGAGTCCCAGCTGTTCCACTTCCGATGCAGCTCTCTATGGCCTGGGACAGCAGTGGCAGATGGCCCAAGTCCTTGGGCCCCTGCAGCCACGTGGGAGACCTGGAGGAAGCTCCTGGCTCCCGGCTTTGCATCAGCTCAGCTCTGGTCATTGCAGCCATTTGGGGAGTAAACAGCGGATGGAAGACCTCTCTCCTTCTCCAGCTCTACCTCTCTCTGTAACTTTCAAATAAATAAAATGACAAATCTTTTTAAAAACGAAGAAAAGAAAAACGGGACCTAACGAACGTCACTAGCCAATGTTCACTGCAGAGCACGTTGACTTGCAGGCCCACCTGTCAAACACGCGAGAAGACAGCAGAGAGCTGAAGACAGGCAAACAGGTCTCCCGCCCTGCAGGGGGCTACAGGGCACAGAAGCCCAAGAAGGCAGGACAACTGCCGACGTCACCATGCCAGGGAGCAGGGAGCAGGCCCCTGCAGGAACTTCCCTCCAGGAAGCTCAGCCAGTGGGGACAGTGGCCCACACACCAGGCCAGCAGGGGCCCAGGAGGCTCAGTCAGTGGGGACAGTGGCCCACACACCAGGCCAGCAGGGGCCCAGGAGGCTCAGTCAGTGGGGACAGTGGCCCACGCACCAGGCCAGCAGGGGCCCAGGAGGCTCAGTCAGCGGGGACAGTGGCCCACGCACCAGGCCAGCAGGGTCCCAGGAGGCTCAGTCAGTGGGGACAGTGGCCCACGCACCAGGCCAGCAGGGGCCCAGAGCTGCTTCAGAGGACCCCTTGGGACCCGGCCAGCCCAGATCTTCCGTTGCTCGGAATCACCACTGCGCTGGGTGTGGAGAGGGCTCCAGGACCAAACATTTGGGAAATGCACTGGATCAGCAGAGACACGCAGAGGTTATGAGTGGAGGGGCCTTGCCCGGGAACTGATGAGTGGCCTCCGTGCGGGCCGCTACGCTAGGCCGTCTCACCAGCCACAGTGGCCGCTCCCAACCCCTCTGGATGTCAGCACCCGAGCCCAGGGAGCACCTCTCCAGGGCACTGCCCACACACCTGCCCGGCTGCCCGGCTTGCAGAGGTTACTGGCCCAGCAGGAGTCGGGGCCCTCTGCGTTGCTCACCCCCCAGAACTCTGGCTGAACCCCGAGGCCATGGCCACACGAAGCGGGGCGGGGCGGGGCAGAGCAGAGCATTCGAAGGCAACGGAAGGCGCACCCACCATCCAACTCGCTCCCAGCACCTCCGCTTGCTGCTCTCGTAGGTGAGCGCAGCTTCCCACAGGTCCACATCCGGCGTCACGCTTGGTTCCGACTGGGAATCGGGGGTCAGATTGGACGCTGACTGGAACCCTTCATCCTCCCACTGATCCAGGCTTGGAGGGACCTGAGAGCACAGGAGGGAAGCGCATCGCCCGGTGCCCGAGCCTGTGAGGCGCCCGGGAACCCCCAGGGCCCGACTCCAGCGCCAAACGCTCTTTGCCTTTCTCCAGCTCAGGTGCGCCACCCGGTGCAGAGTTACGCCATTAAGGAAATCAATGTACAGCTTCGAAAGCCACACGCTCCACGAAACTTAAAATAACCCTGCCATGAAACCTCTCTAACCCAGAGCCTCCACCTGCACGGGAAATCGTAGGCAGAGAAAGTCCTACATGTACCCCAGCCCGGCCCTGCAGGCCCACGCGCAGCAGTGAAATGACCGCGGGGTAACACCACGGCCTCCGGCGCACTTCACAGCCTGGCAGTCTACGGCCGCGGGAAACGCGGCTCTCGCCGCTTGAATCACACTGAGTCCAAGCAGCACCCTGGGCGCAGCGATGGCTGAGCCACGTGGCCTCGCGGGACAGCAGCCGGCCCCTCAGCTCCCGGCCTGACTCCTGCTCTCGTCCACAGCCCACGGGACAGGCCAGAGCAACACGCACGCACGCACTACCTTGATGGCCAGTCCGGAGAGGTCGGCGCTGTCCGGCACTGGGGGCAGGTCCAGGCGGACGTCCATGTCGTAGGCGTGGCTGTGCACCAGAGCGCCGAAGAGAGACACCCGGGTCTCTCTCTCGAATCTGTCACCACAGGCGTCCCCCGAGAAGAGCCCGAGGGTGGGCAGGCCGGTGCCCGGGGCGGCGTCCATCACCTGCAGCGTCTCCTGGACCATGCTGTGGCACAGGCTCTCCTCCCGGGCGAGCAGGGCCCACACGTCCGCCTCGGCCGCGCGCAGGTCGCAGCAGCCGTAGCCGCCGTAGGGCACGCGCCTCCGCACGTGCGGGCCGCCCAGGAAGTAGCCCCGTCTCCGCGGCAGGCCCTGCGGCGGCCCGCTGCCGGCCAGCAGCACCAGCAGGTCCAGCGCGGCGCGCACCTCCCGCAGCGGGCCGCTCGCGGCCGCCTCCAGTCCGTCCACCAGCTCCTCCAGGCGGTCGGCCTCGGGGCCCAGGCCGCCCACCCTCAAGTCGAAGGACAGCATGAGGATCTTGTTTCTCACCGGGAGCTTCGGCGGCTCCGGCGGCGGCGCCTCGTCCCGGAACAGGTGCGCGAACAGCGCGTCGTAGGCCACCCGCTTGAGGCCCCGCTTGGCCCTCGGCCGGCTCAGCGCGCGCTGGCCCGGGCGCGCCTTGGCGGGCGGCAGGAGCGCCTCGCACAGGTCATCGAACAGCTGGGTGATGCTGGCCATGCCGCCCCGCCCGTTGGAGGACGCGTCCGCGCGGCCGGGCTGCGGCTCGGGCCCGACCCCGAGGGCCGCGGCTGCCCCGCACGGAGCTGACGGGGCCGGTCCTCCGCCTCCTCCTCCTCGGGCGGCGGCCCCCGGCGTCGCCCCTCTGCCTCAGAACTTGACCTCTGGGGGGGTGTCACTGACCCGTGACAAAACCGAACGGAACTCGCGCGCGGGTGGCGCCCCGGGCCTTGCGCGCGGGCTTTCGGACGTTCGCGGGAGGGGCGGCCAGGAGCAGCAGCGGCCTGCGCTGAGCCCCCGCGTCCTGCCGCCCGCCCACCTTCGGGGAGAAGACCCCCCGGCTTCTGCTCCCGCCCGCGCAGCGTCACAGCCGCGCGACGGCCGGGACCGCTAGAGTCGGCGCGCCGGAACACGTCACTAGGGAGGCGGGGCCTGGGCCGGAAGCTGGTGCGGGACGCGGAGGCCGGGGCGGGCTCAAGGAGAGGCGGAGGCAGACTTTTGTTTTCGCCGACGTTTACTGCGGGCAGCGCAAGGGGCGAGGGCGCGGTGCGACTCGCGCGAGCGGCGGGCGCCCGGGGCAGGGCTGGGACGGCCGATGTCTAACGGCCGGCTCCGGGAGGCTGGTGTGCGGCGCCGTCCCCGCCTGGGCCCGCTTCGGGCTGCGAAGAGGCGCAGAGCTGGCTGCACGGAGCTCCGGGGAGCGGGCCCCGGGAAGGGTCCTGCAGCATCTTCCACTGCGGCTGCAGCTGACCCCTTAGGTAGGTCAGGGCCTGGATGTCCTCTGGAGAGGCCATGGAGAACGGGCCCAGGCTGGGAGGCGCCTGTCCGTGCAGCACGAGGGCCAGGGTCCTTGCAAGCCGGGGTGCGGATTCCTGGGCCAGAGGCAGAGGTGGACACGGTCCCTGGTCTCTTCCCCACCTCCCACCCACGGCGTGTCCACCCTGCCTCCCCCCTTACCTCCTCCAGCAGGACCAGGACTCGGCCTCCTGCTGGCCCCTGCAGCATTGCGGCCAGCAGAGCCGCCCAAGGGTCTTGCAGGCCGTGGGCAGGCCCCAGAGCCACCAGCACCAGGTCAGGTTGGAAACCGTAGGCCAGGGGCAGCACCAGGCCCAAGACGCAGTTCAGGAACCCTCCAGTTGTCTGTGGGGACGGCGGCCAGGCCTCAGTCCGGTCCAGGGGGACCTCCCCACCCCCCAGTCTCAGAGTTAGCAGAGGCCAGAAGGGGCCCGGGGCTTGACCCTCACAACCCTGCGCCTGCTCCTCCAGGGGGCGCAGCCGCTCACCGCCGGCAGTGGTGTGCGGACGTGGAACATGGACGGGGCGGCCGCCTCCTCGACCTTGCTGTTCAGCCACAGGGTCCTCCTTGCAGGGGAGGAGCGCGGGTCACCCTCCAGGGCCGGACAGCAGAGGCTCTGAGCCTCAGTGCTCGAGACCTGTCTGGCACTGCCCCAGCTGCCGAAGGGCCTCGTCCCCCCTCACCCCGTCAGCCCTAGGGGTCAACCCACAGGCGTGGCTGGACACATGCGTGACCGACGCGTACCCATCGTCCGCAAGGTCCAGGGGCCGATCCAGCTGTCCGAGGGTCACACAGAGCACCCTGGGGGAAGAACCGGCCTCAGGCCGCCTTGCGTGTCAACTGGGGCAGGGGGATCCCACGGACCCTGCCCATGGAGGCTGAGATGAGGTGGAGCTCACCTCTGGGCTCCGCGGGACAGACCTCGGCGAATGGCCACGTCCAGGGTGGCCGCCACAGCAGGGCCCGGGGTGACTACGAGGCTGTTGTTCACCTGGGGTGGAATGACAGTGTGGAGGGCGGGGCCCCGGCCAGCCCCAGCCCAGGTAAACAGCCCGTTCTTCCCTCGGCCCCTGCCCACGCGCTGCGGCTGAGCCTCCCTGAAGCTCTGAGGCCAGACGGCTCCGCTTCTGCGAACAAGACGCCCGACTCTGCTCAGGAGCTGAGGTGGGGGGCACTTAGCCCCTGCGGCTGACTGCGGGAGGGTCCCTGGCCCAAGCCGACACCACCCAGCCCTCTAGACAGGCTACGCTCTGTGGGCCTGCCCACAGCCACCCCAGCCACCCCAGCCCCTCCCAGGTGGCTCTACCTGCCCATCCAGGGTCCCGTCTAAAAGGTACAGGAGCTTCCCAAGGGCAGTGAGGGCCTTGTCCTGGGCCAGCGCCTCGTGTGGCCTGTGGTGGGCACGCCAGAGGGACACATGGACACAGTGGTGACACACGGCTCGCCCGGGCCCTCCCCTCAGGCCTGCCCTGCCCACCTGGCCCAGGCCTCTGTCTCCTCCCTGGGTGCCGACTCCTCCTGGCAGAGGACATCAGGGGGCAGGAGCCGGGCAGCTCCTGGCACAGTCAGGGCAGCGGCTGTCAGGACAGGAGGCACGGGGCGGAGACGCAGCCGGTCCAGGAGGGAGCTCAGGGCAGCTGCTGCTGTCTCACACGCCACAGCCCCGGGCAGCGGAGGGGAGCAGGTGCCGGAGGCTGCGTCTGGAGGCGACTCCGAATCCCGGCCATCGAGGGAGCCCCGGTGAGCCCTGTCTGCCCCAACACGGCTACACCGACCTGGCTGCTGCAGGCTCCTCCAGTGAGGGGCGTGGGCTCTCTGGACACTCTGGATGGACTCCAGGGCGCTGTGGGGGGCGGGCGACCATGAGACCAAGCTCCCACTCTAGCCTCCGCCTTCCTCGGATCCTCTGCCACCCCTTGCACCTGTGACATGGCACCATGGGCCCCGATAGGGGCAGGATGGGATCACCCAGCAGGGCCCGCACCGTCATGCACACCGACTGTGCCAGGGACTCCAGATGGTAGCCGCCCTTGGAGAGAGGACAGGGTGGGGGCAGGTGTCACTGCGGTGGGCATCGCTGGGAGGACCCGGTCTGGGCTTGCTGCCCCTGCCCCCACAGTCACCTCCAGCACAGCACAGACCCGGCCTCCAGCCAGCACCTGCAGCAGCCGTGTGAGGTGGGCGAAGCACTCCGGCGTGGCCTGCATCTGCCCCTGGAACCAGCATCAGATGTGACGGGGCCTGAGCCCCAGGACCCCAATGCCCCCCCCCCCAGCCAGGCCAGGCCCTCACCTCGGGATCCCCGATGGCCGAGTCGAATCCTGCTGAGACCAGCACCAGCTCAGGATCAAACTGTAGGCAGAGCCGGGTGGGAGAGGGCAAGGAGGAGGCTGGAGGCCAACTGGGGAGGAAGCCAGGCCCTCCTGAGACCCCGCAGCCCCAGGGGTCTGTCCACACACTGGCCAGGTGGCTCCAAACCCTCCCCAGCCTTCGGTGGAACTGCAGGCACCCAGTCCTCCTCCCACCTGCCTGCCCCAAGGGCCCCCACCCTCTGCCCAGTCACCTCAAAGGCCAGCGGGAGGAGCACGTGCAAGAAGGCGGCCATGTAGTCTGGGTCTCCCATCCCCACCTGTGGAGGGGAGGCGTCAGGGCAGCCCTGCCCACGGCTGTGGGGCGTGGAGGGGTGCACGCGGGGGAGCTTGGCCGGGGCCGAGGACGGGCACCTGGTTCCAGGGCAGGTTGACGGTGAAACCACGGCCCTGCCCCTGCCCGACCGCATCGGCGTCCGACTCTCGCAGGAACGGCCAGAAGCGTCCGTGCTCGTAGCGGTGCCAGGAGAAGTAGAGGACACTGCAGGCGACCGGCCGGGGCCGGCGGTCAGCTTCAGGCTGTTTCCTGAGCGCAAGGCCAGGTCTTCCCCCACTGGATTTTTTGGCAGCTAGGCTGTGCGCCTTCCTCAAAGTGGGGTCCTGTGTCCCCCCAGCTCACCTGGGGTCATCCTCAAAGATATACTGGATGCCTTGTCCGTGGTGGATGTCCCAGTCAACAATGAGGATCCTGGGGACAGACCGCCAGGGGTCACCCAAGGGCTGGATGGGATCTCAGCCACCTGCTTCACCCCTTCCTGCCTGTCCTGGGCCTCCCACCCCCACAGCCGGCCTGCTACACACCTGTGCAGCCCATGCTTCTGCTTGGCATGTTGCGCCGCTATGGCCACATTGTTGAACACACAGAACCCATTGGCAGCTGCCCTCTGGCTGTGGTGCCCAGGAGGCCTGGTGGGGAGGGGACAGCAGTGGACACAGGGCACATCAGGAGCCCTGACCCTCATGAGGCCATCGTGGGGGCACTCGGTGAGAGGGGTGGCTCTCACCTCACCAGGGCGAGTCCGTTGCGTACAGTTCCGGTCAGCACGGCATCCACCAGCTGCAGCGCAGCCCCCGCAGCAAGCTGGGCACAGTGATAGGTCCTCTGCAGGGCAGGTGTGCAGATGAGCACCCCTCCCCCCGCCCGACCTGGGTGCCCACACCACCAGGCTGCAGGGAACCAACCCCGGAGCAGAACACAGGTGCAGGCCGTGGTCACAGGTGTGGACAAGGGGCTGGGGGGCAGCCATGGCCAGGGGCACCGTGCATCGGGGGTGGGGGGTGTGCACAGAGGGCACACACCGGGTGGAAGTAGACAGCGTCGAACTGTGCAGACAGCGCTTGCAGCTCCTGCTCAGCCAGGGCCTGGGTTCCCCGCACCAGGGCCACGTACTCGGGGCTGCAACAGGCAGGCAGAGGCAGGGCAAGGGGCTGGGGATCCTGATGGGTGCACCAACCGCCTCGGAGCCTGTCATCCACCCACCCACGCACCCGACAGGAAACGGGAGGGGGAGTGGGCAGCCTGCCCAGGCTCTGACCTGTGCACCAGGCCCAGCTCCGCCTCGGAGGCCTTGCGGGCTGACAGGCGGAAGCACCTCTGCTCCAAACCACACTGCCGCAGACCACTCAGCGCGGCGTCCAGGCGCGCAGGACACTCGATCTGGCACTGCGGGCTGGGGCGGACACGGAGCTGAGCGCCAGAGCCCCCTCCCCGTAACCCCCGTCCCAGGCCACACTTACTCGTCCCAGAGCAGCCGGGTGGCCGTCATGTCCTCGTGGTACACGAGGGCGGTCCCCATGGTCGCTGTGGGCCACTCGGGGAGGCAGGTGCCTGCACAATCGGTCCCCGCGCAGGGCGCAGCACGCGGAACCCGCGCACGCACCAGAGAGGGGCGCGGTCCACGGCGGAGGCTCCGAGGGCTCGGCTTCCGGCTTCCTCAGGCTCGGACCCGGGTCCCGCCCCAATCCTGACCTCGCTTCGGGGCGGGGCAGCCCCGCCTTCCGGGGAATCCCGCAGCGGCGCCACCTCCTCCGGAACTCCGGAGCCGACGGGAGAGCCGGAGCACCTCCCGCCCCAAACTTCCCGCGGCCACTCTACCTGCACGCAGGTGCGCAACGGAGGCGTGAAGTCGTAGAAGAGGAATTAGGTGCGCGTGCAGGCAAGGGGGGTGCCCAGGCCGCGGAGCAAAGCCGAGCTACTTTGCGGCACGGGTCTCAGGCCCCCTCTGGCTTAGCTCCGTGCACACCCAGAGGCTCCCCCCAACCCCGGCCACTCGCAGAGCTGTGCAGCCTGCAGCTGTGGGCCGGTGCCTCTGGACAGTGGTCCCAGGGTGGAGGGCTTGGCATGGGGAGCCTGGTGTCCACAGTGGCAACTGTGGGCCCAGTCTGGAGGGCTGAGGGCACGGGCACACCCCAGGGAGCACAGGCAGGGAGGCATTAAGGGGGGAGCGGGAAATCAGGTGTGGCCTCCCCACCACGGCCTGGCCTCCTACTTGCCCAGGGCCTGTAGAGGGCAGTGCAGGCTGCCAGCCTGTGTGGCCAGGAGGGTGGGTGGCTTGCTTGGTGGGAAGACCCCACCCTCTGCCCCCGGCTTGCCTAGCCCGGCCCCCTCCACAGGAGCCCCTCCTGCCTCTCAGACAGCTGATGAGACTGAGCCCCTGGCTGGACCCCAGCAGCCACTCCAAGTTGGCCCTGGCCATTACAGGAAATCATTCTACAAAGGGTGGAGTGCCAAGCCCTGACCGGGGCTGCAGGTGACAGGCACAGCACAGCACAGCACTGGCAGCACTTTAGTGGAGACGGGGGCAGGGAGCGGCAGGACACTCCATCCTCTGGCTGGCCAGGCCAGCCTCCATCCTCTGTGTGGGGCCAGGACTCAGGCGCCTACAGCTGGGGCTCAGCACCAGGCTGCACAGCCAGACTGGAGACCTAAAAATGTTTATTTCTTTCCGGCCACCTGGGTGCACCAAGTGGCTGATTTACATTCCAGGCTGGGGGGAGGGGTCAGGAGAGGCCACGGATGCTCCCCCACACCCGGGAGAGATGATGTCCCTGAGTTGGCAACTCCGCACCCCCCCTCCATTCCTGCTCCTCAGGAGCTGGGCCTCAGATCAGAGCCCAGGACTGGGCCCTGACTCCGGCCAGCTCCGCAGCTTCCTGCTCCACCCTGCGGGGGCTGGGGGGCAGGCACACAGCTCCGGGGGTCAGAGGCCAGCCCCAGGACGGGCAGGGGTCCTGTCTGGCTTTAGAGTTCAGGTGCTCCTCCAAGGCTGGCTAAGGTGTGCACCCAGGTGCGGAGGAACAGGCCGCAGGGAGAGGGATCCGTGGATCGAGGGGGGCTGCTCAGCCTCCAAGTCAATGCTCTGAAGGTCAAGGTGGTACCCAGGGTGTCCCCGCCACCCCCCAGAGGTCTTCACAGGGCCGTCTCCTTGGAGACCCTGGCCCCCAGCTGCCTGGGAGGCTTGAAGCTGAGCACCTCTTTGTAAGTGACACCTGGGGAGGGCGAGAGACAACAGGAGGCAGTGAGCTTGGGCCCACACACACAGGGTGCTGCTGCAGAAGCCCCTCCCCCCGCCCTGGCTGGGCCCAGCCCATGAGGCAAGGCCACTGCTGCAAAGTGGACTTTCTCAGGGCACAGGCGTTCCTGACCACGGCTTCGGCCACAGACGGGACCTGTATCTACCACGATCCATTGTGAAAGCAAAAGCTCCCAGCCACAGCCTGTGGGGGGAACCACAGGGAGGGGCTGCGGCCTGTGGTTTTCAAGTTGTCTTTCCAGCAGCAGGAACTTGAATCGTACAAAACTGAACTCCTGAGCACACAACAGAAGGGTGCCAGGGCACCCCGAGCCCCACAGCCCCTTCCCCCCGGGCGCGCGAGACCCAGGACCCGGATCTGCCCAGGACTGGGCGGCACACCCCCCTACCGCGCCCGGTGCTGCCAACTGGTTCTGCAGACACCAGGCCATCCCTGCTGGAGCACTGCCTCAGCGCTGCCTTGCAGGGAGGCCAGGCGTGCACCGGCCGGCGTGGCCAGTCCCAGAGGGGAGGGGCCCACAGTGCAGAGGACAGCTGAAGGGTACAGGCGAGGGTGGTGTCAGGGGTGAGGCCCAAGGGGCTGCCTGGGGCGGACTTTATCGTGGCGGCGGGACACGGCCTCCAGATGGGCTGGGTCCTGACGTGGGGCAGGAGAGGCGGGAACAATTTGGACCGCTGTGAGCAGGAGACCCTTGGACAGTGTGTGTGGAGGGACCTCCAGGATGGCCAGGTCTCTGGCCTGGGCAACAGGGGGCAGGAGCGGCTCAGTGGGCGCCGCTGCCCTGAGCTCAGAGCCACGCCTCGCGGTTCCCGGGGCCGTGTGCCGGGCCACCTGCCGGGCCCCACACAGGCCCCACGGAGCACAACTCACGCTTCCACTCGTCCAGGGTGCGGTCCACGTCATCAAAGGAGTCGTCGTACTTCTGGGCTGTGGGCTCGTCCTCCGTGTCGTGCAGGGACTCGAAGTAGGGGTGGGCCAGCGCCTCGGCCGCTGTCACCCGCTGGTCCCCGTCCAGCACCAGCATCTTCTCCAGGAGGTTCACGGCTGGAGGGGCAGCGGGTCAGGCCGGCAGAGGCGGGCCTGCGCCCCAGCCCCGAGACCGCCCCGCTGCCCCCCGCCCTACCCAGAGGGCTTGCGTTGGTCACCACGGAGGCAAAGTCCTTCCTCTCACACTCGGGGAGGCCCTGCATGTACTGCTTGGCCTGCCAGGGAAGACAGGGTGAGGGGCAGCCCCCAGGCCAGCTGGCCTCACCCGCCCAGCTCCATACGGACATCAGCGCTCCGCAGCTTTTGCACGAAGTCGGCCGGAGGCGTCCCTGTCACCTTCATGATCTCCTTCAGCTGGTCCAGGTCTGCACTGGGGTTCAGGAGCACGACAGGGGACAGGGAGCAGGAGCCACACCCACCTCCTCCGGCCCCGCCCGCCAGGCAGCCCACGACTGAGGATACGGTCACTGCCCTTGAACAGCGTCTTCCCCGTAATCATCTCCGCCATGATGCAGCCCACCGACCAGATGTCCACTGAGACGAGACCCCATCAGCACCCGGGGTGGAGGAAGGGGCTGTAGCACAGGCCCACGCCCTCACCCGGCTCCGCCAGAACACACAGCTTTTGGGGGGCGGGGCCTCCACCATGGAGCGAAGCGGTGTGGTCTGGGAGGCCCCCGTGTCCCTGGGTGGCCTCTTACCTGTCTGTGTGTAGTGCATCCAGTTCAGGATGACCTCGGGGGCCCGGTACCACCGGGTCACCACATAGCCAGTCATCTCACTGTCAGCCTGCCTGGCCAGGCCAAAGTCCAGGATCTGTGGGAAGAATCAGAGAGATGGGACTAAGAGGACCCCTAAGGGATGCACAGGCCAGCCATGGTCCGGGAGACCCCCAGGGGGCTGGGCCCAAGGCAGCAAGCACCACCCCAGGGTCCCTCCCTGGGAGTACCCGGGAGCTCTGGCCCTGGACTCCTCTCCCTGCTCTGCCAACCCCTGCCCGTCTTCCTGGAGGCCTCCTCAGCCCCGCCCTGGGTCAGGCATGGGGACTGGGAACACCTCCCACGCTCGCCCTGACGCAGGTATGGGGGCGTCGTGCCCGATGCCACCCCCTCAGGGACCACCCAGGGCCCATTCGCCCACCAGCTAGCTGCTCAGCCCCTGCCCAGGTGCCAGGCTGGGGGCAGATGGTGAGGGAGCCCCCCCCCCCAGGCCCCTGGCCCTCGCACCTTCAGCTCACAGTCCTCATTCACTGCCAGGTTGCCGGGCTTCAGGTCCTGCAGGCAGAGGACAGGTGGCCACTGCGAGGCCCGACGTTGGACGGCACCCACACAGGGGCCGCCAGGCCCGACCCAGCCTCCCTGGCCCTTGCAGCCCGTCCAGGAGAGCAGAGGTGCCTGGGTCCCCAGGACACGTTCCCAGCAGCAATGCATGGGGTGTCGTGTGCACCACGCCAAGCCCACCGCACCCCCTCACGGGTGAGCAGTGGAGACGGGACTGGGCCCCTCTGGAGGCCGTAGCCAGGACTCACCCTGTGGATGACGCCAGCAGCGTGGATGTACTGCAGACAGAGGGGTCAGCAGGGGTCAGCGTCCCAGGGCCTCAGGGCCACAGAGCCTCCCCGCCCTGCTCTGCCCGGGTGCCCCACCTTCAGCCCCTTCAGCATCTGGTACACCAGGAACTGGATGCGGTCCTCACTCAGCTTCTCGTGCTTCATGAGCTTGCCCAGGTCGGTGCCCATGAACGGCATCACCAGGTAACTGGAAGTGGGGCTGGGATGCAGTCACCCGCCAGGGCCGGGCCCTGGAGCCGGGGGTCCCACCCGATGGGCTCAGGCTCAGACCTGGAGGACTCTGCCCGACAGATGCCCCTCAGAAGGTGACCCTCAGCACCTGGTCCCCGCTGGCTTCGGTCGAGTCCTCTCTTCCCCGACCTCCCTGTCGCTCCCAGCAATGACCCCGCCTCCCCCCAGACATCCCACCCAGCCTACCCTGAATGTCACCCACTGTGGGGCTCCTGATTTCTCGTCTAAAAGGCACAGTGTTGAAGACAAGGGGGCAGGAAGCTTCACACACAGGGGCCGGGGAAGGACGAGATGGGTGGTGGCCAGAGGGGTGGGCTGGGCAGGCCGAGGGAGGGAAGTCACCACTTAGCACCCCAGGAGACGCTGAGGCCTCGGGGACCCACCCTTGGCATGTCAGGCAACAGGGAGCCCGCTGCCCTCCGCAGCCCTCCGCAGGCCTGGCCCTGCTCCCAGCTGAGAACAACGTGAGCCGGAAGCAGCCTGGTCAGTGCTAGGCCGGGATGGCCGCTCCCTGCCACCTCTCCTCCACCCACCGGCAAAGGTCAGCAGCTCCAGTTACAGGCCACACGCCTGGTGCCTGGGGCCAGAGCACGGGACCAGCCTGTTAACAGGGTTCACACCTCCAGCACCGGCGATGGCCCAGGTGCTGCGGGTGGAGGGAGGAGGAGGCCCGGGCTGTGTCTGGGTGTTCCAGTGCCCAAGGGTCCCAGGAACATGTTGGGAGGGGGTGTGGAGTGGCCTGGGTCCGGACACAGAGTGAACAGGGTGTATCCCAGCGCCCGTCACCATGGCTGTGGGGAAAGGCCCCCTGCCGACCCAGAACCTAACGCTGGTGCCCAGGAGCCAGCCAGTGCCCTACTGGCCTGCCCGGCCAGCCCAGCCAGCACTCACAAGTCTGTGAAGTCGTCCAGGGTCTCGTCTGGGGTGAACACGTCCAGCAGGCCGATCACCTGGGGGAGAGCCAGAGCGCCAGGTGGGGGAGGGTGCAGCAGAGGATGCAAGGGCTCGGTGGTGCCGCACAGTGGGCAGGACCCCCCCGCAGCTGGCCTCGTCTCCCCACTGGCTCAGCCCTGGCACCTTCACCCATGCACGGTTATTTTTGGGTGGTGACAGCTGGGATGCTCTGGGGGAGGGGCAGCCTCAAGTCTGTGCTGGCTCTGAACCACCCAGAGGGCTCCCAGCCCCTCGGCCTTCCTCCCCCCTTCCTCTTCCCAACCAAGCAGCCCACAGGACCAGGATGGGGACAGATACCCAAGAGGCCCTTCCCAGAGCCATTGCCTCTGCCGGTGCAACCCAGGCGGGCAACACAGGGACAGCCAGACCTGGTCCTGCAGAGGCCCCGTGAGGCGGCAAGGACAGCAAACAGGTGTCGACTGCACATGCAAGCAGCCAGGGTGGGGACGCTGGACCCGGCGGGCAGGGCCACGGGCAAGGTGGCACAGCACAAGGAGAGTAGGGACACAGGGAAGGAGACCAGGTGAGGCCAGGGCAGGGAGGAACCGACAGGTGCAGGTGTGGCTCTGATCCTGAGAACCACCACTGAAGAGTGTAAACCAGGGTGGGGTACAGAACACATCCCCCTGGCTGTGGGGCAAGGACAGGTGGGAGTGAGGCAAGAACAGACTGAGGGGCTGGCGCTGTGGCATGGTGGGTTAAGCCTCCACCTGCAGCACCAGCTTCCCATATGGGCACCAGTTCAAGTCCAGGCTGCTCCACTTCCGATCCTGCTCCCTGCTAATGCGCCTGGGAAAGCAGCAGAAGATGGCCCAAGTGCTTGGATACTCTGCATCCACGTGGGAGACCCAGATGAAGCTCCTGGCCCCGCCCTGGCCATTGCAGCCATATGGGGAGGGAGCCAGCAGATGGAAGCTCTCTCTTTCTCCGTAATTCTTTCAAATAAACAATCTTGAAAAAAAAAGAATATAGGTGGATGGACAGGTGGCTGCCCACAGCAGCCACCAGCACCAGAGTTGTGGGCAGAAGGGAATAGTGTGGGACATGTGGAGCAGGGCCTGGGGACAGGTGGGCTCACGGAGGTGACCACAGATGTGAAGACCTGGGGGCACTCTTGTGGGGGCTATCGGATGGACAGGGACTTCTGTGCCATGTAAGTAGATCACAGCCCAGAGTAGGGGGCCAGGGCTGAATCGAGGGAAGTGGCCCGGAGAGACCACAGGAGGGGGTCAAGGGAGGCAGGACTGGGACCCACGGCAGCTCCTTCCTCCCCTGAGCAAGGCACTCGGCTTCCTCGTGGGAGAACGGGGCTCCCGCAGGCAGAGCTGCCCAGCCGCAAGCAGCTCAGGAAGCCCCCAGGATGGCAGGACCCTCTGGCCTGGGGCTGCAGCACAGGGGATCGGAGATGGGTGGTGACTGAAGCCCAGAGCCCAGGCAGCACAGGGGGTGGTGGGTGAGCATGAATGCGAGTGTGGGTGAGAAGCTGGCTAAGACCTGCGGTCCAAGAGGCTGCCTCGTGGGATTGGTGTCCACCCCCAGTGGGTTTCACGCAGAAAGGGGTGAGCCCTGGCCAGGGGCGAGGTGGCAGTTGAGGAGAACAAAGGGCCTCCGAGAGCGTCAGTGGCCGACACCCAGGTTTGCTGCTGGACACGAGGAGTCCTTCTCCCAGGGTCTGGCAGCTCCAGGGACCTGGGAGACCAGAACATCCACCCAGACCATGGCCCTGAGACTGGGCCCACCCCAGGGGCTGAGACAGTGTGGCATGGATGGGAGGGGACAGAACTCTGGGCCCCAGGGAACCCGGGTGGAGGAGCGAGAACTCCCCCTGGCAGAAGGAGCTCCTAGCAGCCAGCAGTGGCCCTGGGAGACACCTGGGGCAGCCATGTGTGGGGAGCCAGGGGAAGGATGGGAAAAGATGCCCCCAGGAGGATGTGTGATGTCCTCGCAATGGCCTCCAGCCCTCAGCTCTGCAGACACCAGCTCCCTGAGCCATTGCTCCTACCGGAGACCCCACCCTCCCCGGGGATGGCCTTGCCCATGGCCCCTGCCTGCCTGGAGCAGAGTGGGCGCTGGAGAACGGCACTGGGACCAAAGGAGGGCGGTCCCTGGAAACAGGAACCCCTACCCGACACCCCGCCCCAGCACCCGCTCCCCAGCACGGGGCCGAGGCCTGGACAGAGCCCGGTCCCCGGCAGAGAAACCAGCTGCGGAACCAGCAGGCAGTCAGACGCTGGGCGGAAGGGAAAGGGTGTCCCCCACAGAGGGACTGCGCTGCCCCTCCCCTGCAGCGGGGACTGGAGGCCGGTGGGAGGGCCCCTCGGCCGGGAGGCGGGACCCCGCGTCCTCACGTTCTCGTGGCGCATGTGCTGGAGCAGGCGCAGCTCGCGGTAGGCACGCTTGGCGAACAGCTCCGACTGGAAGGGACGGTACAGCTTCTTGATGGCCACCTTGGCGCCCGTGCGGCTGTCCACTGCCGAGCTGCGGGGCGCACCGCTTAGCGGGGAGGCCAGGCCTGCCGACCCCCGCCCATCCCGCGGCCCGCGCTCACCACACGGCGCCGTAGGCGCCCGAGCCCACGGGCTGCAGGTCCTGGTACACAGCGCGCACCTCCCAGGCGGTCTTGGTCACCTCCTGGCGGTAAAAGCCCTTGCGGGCCGGTGGCGGCGAGCTCATCGCGGGCCGGCGAGGCTCCGCGCGCCCTCCGGCCCCGCAGCCCGCCGACCCCGGCCAGCCCCGGCAGCACGCGGCCCCTCCCCCGCTCGCGGACCAACCGGCCCCAGGGCCACGCACACGTGACGCCCCCGCCCGCCCTCCGGCCCCTCCGGAAACCCGAAGCGGCCGCCGCCCGGGGAGGGAGCAAGGCTGGGGGGAGGGGAGCGCCGGCCCTCGGCCCCAGCGCGGTCCTCCCGGGGCGCTGGGCTCATCCAAGGTCGCTATCCACCTGCCCTTCCGTTACCTCCGCCCAGCCCTTCGTCCCCGTCCCCTGGGCCAGGCCGCATCTCACGCGGGTGTCCAGATCCCCACCCCACTCCCAGGGTGCCCACATTACCATCCATCAGTCCCCGAAAGTTCAGCGCCCCACAGTGCACCTTAAAGATGTATTTATTTGAAAGGCAGTGTTACAGAAGGGAAGGCAGAGAGAGAATCTTCCATCTTCTGCTTCACTCCCCAGATGGCCTCAACTGCAGGAGCTGAGCCTATCCGAAGGCAGGAGCCAGGAGCCTCTTCCCGGTCTCCCATGTGGTGCTCACATGGACGCCAGCACTGCAGGCAGTAGCCCCCACATTTTACATTGTGTCTTGCCCGCATCCCTCCTTCCACGGGGAGAGGTTGGTTCCCCCCTCCTGAAGGTCACACGGCACGCCCAGCGCCCAGCCCTGTGCCTGCAGACCCCAGCCTCCCAACCTGGCAGCCAGAGGGGCACGCCCAGCTCCCCTTCTAGCACGGCTGCAGGTGGGGTGCCTGCTCCAGGCATCCGCCAGTGTGTCCTGAATCCCGGATGAACCGCACTGCCCTCTCTCCAGGAAGGTGGGCCTGCCCCCATGGGTGAAGCCCCCTCCCGAGAAAATCTGGGCCAGGGCCAGGGTCCCTGCCCCACCTCCATGCCCTGTCCATCCAGCTGCTTTGCACCTGGGCTTCATGGCAGGGGGGCTGGAGCACTCACCAGCTGTGAGCACTGGGCAGGGGCAGTGTGTGGCACTCCAGCCACGGCTTCCCCTTGTTTTCCACCTGCCTGACCCAAGAAGCCCCCGCCCTTCATGAGGGCCCAGGGCCTAGCAGGGCCCCATGCCACAGCAGGCTCTGGAGGTGGGTGTGTCACAAGCCCCGCCCCAGCTCTTACCCCAAATGATGGACATGGTCCCTCCTGGTCTCCAGGGCTCCCCCAGCAGTGGCCATCATACTGACCAGGCCTCTGGAGGTCCAATTCCCGAAAGCCCAGGGCAAGAGCAGACAGCCCACTCGTGGGCCGCTAGGAGCACCAAGCAGGGACCAGGCCCCTGTGTGGAGGTCCATGTGTGGCCATCCTGCTGCCCGGCCCCTGGGGAAGGACAGGCCTTTGCTCCCAGAGATACCCAACTGCCCTAGGCAGCCTTCCCGACCACCGAGCAAGGGGAAGCTCCAGGTGGGCCAGAGCCAAGGTTGCAGCCAAGCCTGGTGCCATGTGTTGCCCAGCGGCCTCCTCCCCTGGGATCCCTGGGTTCTCGGACCCTCCAGGGGACAAGAAGGCCACCAGGAGGTGACTGCTGGTCTGACTGGGGGCCTGAGGGACCGGGTCAGCCACCCCCTCTGGGCAGCAGGGACACCAGGGGCAGTGGGGCTGGAGCCTGGGAACAAGCTGAGCACAGAGGAACTTCTTTATTGCGCACCCCTGGTGCAGGCACTTCACATCCAGACCTCCCTGGTCCCTGGGGGCAACGGGCCCGTCTCCACGAGGGACCCCCCCCTCCCAGCACAGCCGAGCTGGGCCCTGTCCCAGAGGCCACGTGGTCAGCTCCATCCTGGGAGAAGGGAGGACGGCGGCTGACCCACACCCCGGGGCCCCCTGTGTCTGGCTTCAGGACCACAATCAGGGGCAGAGGTAGAGAGGGCAGCGGCTCCTCGGCTGTGGGCCAAGGTCCAGGGGCGGGGGTGTCTGGGGCCGAGTCCACACGCTCGTGTGCTGTCCACCTTGGCTTCCTCCAGTCTGCAGTCTGGCTCCGTCAGCTCCCAGCTGGCTCGTTGCCCTGCCTCGGGTACCCCAGGCCCCAGGAGGACGCCCGCTTTTGCGCGCTTGGCCACCCTGGGCCCACGGACCCTGCAGAGCTGGGCCTCAGCATCACGGGTGGTGTCAGGAACCGGGGGGAGGGAGGCAATGGCACAGCCACCCCAACTCGAGGTCCTGCTGGACACGACCCCTGGCTCTTGGGCACCACAGGGTCACATGCACCAGCACAGACCTACACATGCCCTGACGTGTGAATACCTGGAGCACACACTCACACGCGTGCCCACATGCATGTGCACAGGGAAACGCAAGGGTCCGGCCAGCTTTTCGGACTTGACACTGGGAAGTTGTCCCTGCCCTGCCACCAACTGTCCACCCCAGTGGAGACTGCCCAGCCTGGTGGGGTACTGGCCTGCCTCAGCTCTCAGACCCTGGGTCTCAGGGCGGCCCCCACCACCAGGCCGAGCAGCTCTGGCCACAGAGACCCTCCCTGTGAGTCTCCAGGGTCCCTAGTGTGCCTTCCCCCTATGGAATCTGGAGACAGACACTCCCCAGTGGGACCCCTGTGGTATCCAGGCCTCCCTCCGACAGTGAGGTCCCAAGAGAGACAGTGGCTGGGAGGTGGAACAATGAAGGCAGGCCCAGGGACGCTTCTGCCTGACCCCTGCACGTGGCATGCACACATGCACACTGCATTCATGTGTGTGGGCTGCCCTCAAGTCAGGGATCCCAGAGCAGGGGGTCAGGGCTGCCTGGACACAGAGGTGTGCGGGTTGAGAGGGGGCGAGTTCAAGCCCCACCATGGGTTCAAGGGTGGCCGCAGGGCAGCACCTCACTGCTCAATGTCCAGGCTACCAGATGGCTGTGGTGACTCCGGGGGCTTGAAGCTGAGAACCTCCTGGTAGGTGAGCTCTGGGGGCCAAAGGGGGAAGAGTGAGTTTGTGCCTTCCTCTCATCGCCTTCCCCATCAGGCACCTGCTGCCCTGCCCAGGCCCCTCACCCTCTGCCACACACACCCGTCTCCAGCTGCTCCACGGTGCAGCGGGGGCTGTGTCCCCTCCCAGACCACTCTGGGGAGGAAGTGGGATGTTTCCTGCGGTGTCTGGAGGAATGCAGAGCCCTGAGCCCCCCACGCCTACCCTTCCACTCCTCCACTGTGCGCTCCTTGGCCTCAACGCTTTCATCATAGGGCTCGGCCACCGGCTCATCGTCGGGGTCGTGGTACTGGCTGAAGTAGGCGTGGGCCAGGGCCTCCGCGGCGCTGACCCGCTGGTCGCTGTCCAGCACCAGCATCCTCCCGAGGAGATCTATAGCTGCACGGGCCGGTGGAGGGGGAGGGGCTGTCAGCTCCAGCTCCAGGACTCGAGGTGCAGCCAGCCTGGGCCCGGGGCCAGTCCTCACCCAGGGGGTTGGCTCCGCGGAAGATGCTGCTGAGGTCCTTCTGAGGCATGGGGGGCAGAGACTGGATGTAGGTCCGGGCCTAGGGCACATGAGAGGGGCCTGCAGGGGCCGCTCATCCCTGGGCCCTGCGTCCCCAACAAGGCAAGGAGTCAGCAGGGCCGGGCGCGGCACAGGCAGAGCAGACGCTGCTCCCCACAGGCCTGGCTGGTTCTGCCTCCTCACCCGGCCCTGACGGCTGCAAGAGCTGGGTTTGCAGCTCCCCCGTCCCCACTGCCCACGCGGCTGTGACTTTCACCCCTGCCATCGCCGTCCCCCGGGCTCCCCGGCGGGGCGGCTGTGACTTTCACCCCTGCCATCGCCGTCCCCCGGGCTCCCCGGCGGGCGGCTGTGACTTTCACCCCTGCCATCGCCGTCCCCCGGGCTCCCCGGCGGGGCGGCTGTGACTTTCACCCCTGCCATCGCCGTCCCCCGGGCTCCCCGGCGGGGCGGCTGTGACTTTCACCCCTGCCATCGCTGTCCCCCGGGCTCCCCGGCGGGCGGCTGTGACTTTCACCCCTGCCATCGCCGTCCCCCGGGCTCCCCGGCGGGCGGCTGAGGGCAGGCTGGGCAGGACTTACGTGCTCCGAGGAAATCTTGGCCAGAACCTCAGGGCTGGGCGTACCCACCACCTCCATGATCCGCTTCAGCTGGTCGATGTCTGCCTTGTTCAGGAAATACCCACTGGCCATCCACCGCCCCCAGGCCCAAGAGCCCCATCTTGGGGCCCCACCCAGAGCCTCTGTCTGACAGCTGAGGATCCAAGCCTGAGGTGGCCCGGCCCAGGGCAGAGGAGAGCCAGAGCCCACCCCCACCCTGGAGGAGGGGTCCCCGCAGCGTGACGCTGCAGGCCGCACGGGCAAGGATACAGTCACTTCCCGGGAAGAGAGCCTTCCCCTGCAGCAGCTCGGCCATGATACAGCCCACGGACCAGATATCCACTGTTGGGGGAGGGGCAGGCTATCAGCCTGCCCACCCCAGCCCCTCCTCTGGAGGCTGGGGAGGAGCCGGCCCAGCGGACCCTCAGTCACACCCAGGCCGAACCCTTCCTTCTGTACACCCACGTTGGGTGGGGAGAGCAAGTGGCTCAGACCCCAGCACACACCTGCCCCGGGGACCCTTGGAAAGTCTGTTTTTGAATGCTGGTCCCAGACCCTGCCTGTCCCCCAAGACTGGGCAAGGCTCCCCCAAGGCCCCTCAGCCATGGGCCGACTCCCATCCCCGTGCCCCGGGTGGGGCCCCGGTGCGAGCCCGGTCAGCCGGCCTGGCCGCGTGAGGGCTGACGGCACCTGTCTGGTTGTAGTGCATCCAGTTCAGCATGATCTCTGGGGCTCGGTACCAGCGTGTGGCCACGTAGCCGGTCATCTCCTCGTCAGCCTGGCGGGCCAGTCCGAAGTCTAGGATCTGGGGGGACCGAGAGGTGCTCAGGGCCCCTCCTCGCCCCACAGCCCACCCGGCCCAGTCCCGCCAGTCGCTCACCCTGAGCTCGCAGTCTTCATTCACCGCCACGTTGCTGGGTTTCAGGTCCTGCGTGGGCGGGCAGAGGCCTGAGCGCAGGGATAGCGCCCGCCTGAGCCCACCCGCCGCCCGTCGCCCACGCTGCACCTACCCGGTGGATGATCCCTGCAGAGTGGATGTACTGCGGGGAGGGAGGTGGTGAGCATTGGCCATGTGCCCAGGGACCCCCACCTCCAGCCCAGGCCCTAAGACCCCGCCTGCAGCCCAGGCCCTAAGACCCCCACCTCCAGTCCAGGCCCTAAGACCCCGCCTACAGCCCAGGCCCTAAGACCCCCACCTCCAGTCCAGGCCCTAAGACCCTGCCTGCAGCCCAGGCCCTAAGACCCCCACCTCCAGCCCAGGCCCTAAGACCCCGCCTGCAGCCCAGGCCCTAAGACCCCCACCTCCAGTCCAGGCCCTAAGACCCCACCTCCAGCCCAGGCCCTAAGACCCCGCCTGCAGCCCAGGCCCTAAGACCACCACCTCCAGCCCAGGCCCTAAGACCCCCACCTCCAGTCCAGGCCCTAAGACCCCACCTCCAGCCCAGGCCCTAAGACCCCGCCTGCAGCCCAGGCCCTAAGACCACCACCTCCAGCCCAGGCCCTAAGACCCCACCTCCAGCCCAGGCCCTAAGACCCCACCTCTAGCCCACGCCCAGAGACCCCCACCTTCAGCCCACGCAGCAGCTGGTATACCAGGAACTGGACGTGTTCGTCACTCAGCGCCTGGCACTTGACGATGTTGTTCAGGTCTGCGCCCATCAGGGTGGTCACCAAGTACCTGGGGCAAGGTAGGGGGTCAGGGGTCAGGCCGGAGCCCCACTGCCGTGGGCCGAAGGTGCTCCTCTAGCCGCCAGGCACTCACACTTCACTGAAGTCCTCGATGGACGTGGCTGGCGTGAAGACGTCCAGAAGCCCGATGACCTGGGAGGCAGGAAAGCAGCTGGGCAGCATGCGGTGGGCAGGGCTCGGCCCCAGGCCAGAGCCCTCCTCCTGCCAGCCCTCCCTCCCATTGGCCCAGGGCCCGGGGCCCTCCTCCCGCCGGCCCTCCCCCCCACCGGGCTTCCCCACCCCCCCCCGCCCTCCCCCCCCCCGCCGGCCCTCCCCACCCCCCCCGCCCTCCCCCCCACCCTCCCTCCCACCGGTCCTTCCCCCCACCCTCCCTCCCGCCGGCCCTCCCTCCCGCCGGCCAGCACCCGCTCACGTTCTCATGCTTGAGGTGCTTGAGCAGCCGCAGCTCCCGGTACGTCCTGCGGGCGTGGATCAGCGACTGGAAGGGCCGCGAGAGCTTCTTCACCGCCACCTTCTGCCGCAGCCGGGCGTCGTAGGCTGAGCTGGAAGGCGGGCGAGTGAGGCAGCCTCCCCAGCTCCGCGCCCAACCCCTCCTCGCCCGAGATCCAGAGGAGCCCCTGAGGCTGGGCCCCGGCTCGGGGAGAGGCCTGGGTACTCCCAGGGCAGAGGGTGCCCCCTACCCCGGGACTGGGCAGGTCCAGAAGTGTGTGCTGCATCACTGGCAACCGGAAGTGGACACTGGGAATGCCCAGCGAGGCCGGCCTTGCCCAGCCCCACGCCCCTCCCCTCGGCAGCAGCCCCTCGCCTGGCGGCAGGTGCAGCAGTCTCGGTCACGATCAGGGCTCAGCTGGGAGCAGGTCTGGAGCCCTTTGCACAGCCGGCTCTCTGGCCAATGCGCCCGCCCACGCACCCCTTCCCTTCCCCTCAGAACCCGCCCCGCAGTGAGCCCAGACTTGACTGCCCCCGGTGTGGGACGCTCATGGGTGCCAGTGGCAGAGAAAAATTCACCAGGCCCCCAGTGCCCCCATCACCAGGTTGTGACCCACAGGGGCAAATCCAAGTCACTGCTGGAGAGGAGGTGGCAGATCCTTTGGCCCAACTGCATCTGTGTGGTTAGCTGAGCAACAGGGAATGGGCACCCGCGCAGTCACCTCCTTGGCAGTGGAACTCAGCAAACATGGAGGGTTGGGGTGCAGCCCAGAAAAGCCCAGGTCCCCCTGTGGGGACTTGACACCCCCGGAACTCCCAGATGTGCAGACCCAGCCATGAGTCCACCTGGGTTCCTGCCACAATATCCTCTGGTCACTCACACACGCCGGAAGACGGTGCCCCGGTGCTGGAGTGGCCGAGGTGACCGCCTCAGGCTGCGGGGACAGGCAAAGATCCGCCCAGGTGCGGGCAGCCACGCCCGCCCACCAGTCCCCAGCCTCTCCGGCCCCACTGGGACCCAGCAGCGGCCAGTGACGACCTCGTCGGGTGCCATGGGGGCACCTGGCAGCGTCCACACCTGTGAGCAGCCTGTCTACACAACGCTGGTCTGTCACCGCCCTGTCCGGCTTTCCTGTCCTGGAGCGAAGGCCGCGGCCCAATCGGCACCCCCGCCCCCCACAAGCCGCCGTGGTCTGTTTGGGTTCAGGCTCTGGAACCTGCGCTCTGGGGATCGGGCGTCAGGTCCCCCGCTCAGGATGGAGTCCGAGACTCCTGGGAAAACGAGGAGTGGGCAGGACCCGCAAGGGGCTCCGAGGCCACGCTGCGAGCCTCCGTTTTCAAACAATGGCGCGGGGCGGGGGCGGGGTATCCGCCGGACCCTGAGCCGCGCGACCCCTAACCCAGGAACTGCGAGGGGAGCGCAGACGCCGAGGGCCCCGGGGCGCCCGGCCTCCGCCGGCCGCGCCATCCCGGGACTGGGCGCGGCAGGAAGACGACCCCCGCCCCGCTGGGGGCGGCGTGCGGCGGGCACGCTTCTCGCACGCCCTCACCCCGACGCATCGCCGCGGCCCGCGCAGGGCCCGGGGGCGGGGGCAGGCCGAGGCCCCTCCCCACGCCCGCAGCCCCGAGCGCGCCCCGCGCCCCGCCCCTACCAGACCGAGCCGTAGGCGCCGGAGCCCACCGGGCGCAGCCCCTGCAGCCTCTGCGGCACCTCCCACACCGTCTTGTTCAGCTCCTGCCGGTAGAAGCCGGCGCGGGGCCCCGACATGTCCGGAGCCGGAGCCGCGCGCAGCTGAGGGCGGCGGGGCGCGGGGCGGGGCGCTGGGCGGGGCGCGCGCGGGGCTCCTGGCTGGGGCGGGGGCGCCCGGAGCCGAGCGGAAACCGGGGCGGCGGCGGGATCCGGGCCCGGAGCTCGGGAAGCGCTTCCTCTCGGGACGGAAGGGGGTTGAGGGCCGGGCCTTTGTGGCGCCGGACCACCTGCTGGGGTCTCCCGCGGGCGCGGCCGGTCAGCACCAGGGACAGCGGCGACCCGGGGGGCCTCTGGGGCCAGGGCTCGGGAAGAAGCGGCCCCAGATGAGTCCCCTCGGGTCCCTCGTACTTTTTGCCTCTTCGGGAAGCCCACCCGAACTTCCCCAGACCCTGGGAGCCGCCCCTACCGCCCTGCGCGGCGGTCCCGTGGCCGGCGTCCTCCCGTTAAGCCCCGGCCTCGCGGGCAGTCGCCGCAGGCACGGACAGACGCTGGGTCGGGGGCTTTGGGCGGGACGCCCCCTCCCGGGATGGGAGGAACTTGGGCTCCAGTCGCCCCCTCTTTTTCAAGACGAACCCAGCGGCGCGCGCCGGTGAAGCTGGGGTGCTTGGGACCAGCGTGAAACGCGGAGCGAGCTCCCTGGACCCGCAGCTTCATGCAGACTTCATGGGTCTTGGGACCCTGGCCGGGGTCCAGGGCCTGTCCTGCTGGGGCCCCTAAGGGGTTCGGAGACCCGGGCGGGGAGGGGGACTCAGTGGATGCTTCCCCACCGCCACACGAATCGCTGGTGAGGGTCTGGAACAAGCAGGATGCAGTCTTGGCTCCATTCTCTGGACATGGACAGGTCAGCAGCATTGCTCGTGGCTCCTTCCCATCCTCACCTCTCCCTCCCCCTGCTCACTGGAAATTGGACAGTGACCGGAAGGGCTGGTCACCGCTGGGGCTGAAGGGCATTCTGGCCACCTGGACAAGCCAACATTCACCCCTCGCTGGCACCAGCCAGGCTCCTGGGTCCTGTCACTCCCATCCCTAAGGGGAGGGGTGAGGGTGGAGACCACCTGGGCGTGGATGGCAGGACCTACAGCCTTCCCCTCCCCCTGAGTGTCCCTTGCGTGTGTAGGGGTGTCCTCACAGATGAGCCCCTTCTTTCCTGACTGCCCCGGGGGACAGCAGCAGCAGACCCCTGGAAGCCAGGCCTCCAGGTTCCTGTTTCCCTACAGCCAGTGTTGGGGAGGGGCCCGAGTCACCCCCTTCCAGGAGGGGTTCACAGTCCCCTGACCCCGGCTCCTGGGCTCCCCAGCCGTAAGGGGAGGCCCCAGCGGCGAGACCAGGCCGGAGACCATTCAGACAACGCACACAGGGACAGCGAGTGTCCAGGCCGCTCTGCTTCTTCCTGGGCTCAGCCTGCTTGGGGTTCACAGGAAGCTCCGTGGGGGCAGGGCCCCTCCGTCCCATTGGCTGCAGGCCCAAACTACGTCTTCATCTTGTGGCCCCGCCCCAGGTCCTCGGGGTTACCTACCCCCACCCAGACCCCCACCAGGCAGGAGCAGAGGAGTCCGTCGCCCTCAGAGGTGCAAAGGGTGGTCCTGGGCGAGTCATCCTGGGTAGCTCGTGGGACAAAGCTGACCTCACAGCCCCAAGGCCTTGAGACTCTGGCCCTCTGTCCAGTGGGGCCGGCACACAGCGCGAGGCTTACCAGGCATCTCTCTCGCTCGCTGCTGCCTCATGCCTGCCCGGGGAAGGGAGGGGGACGCTGAGGGCGCCAGATGGGGGCGCTAGAGCCAGTCTCTTTCCAGCACCCAGCCAGGCTGGCCTGGTCCCACCTGGCCCACACAGGGGCCCACCTCAGATCCAGCAGTGTCCAGGGAAGGGGAACAGGTGGGTGGGGACAGACCAGCAGCCCCTGGAGCCCAACCAGCCAGCAGAGTGAAAAAGACAGCTGTATTTGATTTACAATGAACAAGATTTACAAAAAAGGGATGGGTGGTCCTGGTGGAGCTGCTCCCAGCCCCCCAGACCCAGGTGGGGCCTCCAGGGCAGCCTGTCTGACAGGTCGGCTGGGCTCCTCCTGGCTGCCTGGCCCCGACGTCTGACGTCCAGCGTGACCTTTGAGGTGGGGCCCGGCAAACGTGGGTGCCCCCTGGGGAGGCAGGGTGAGGTCAGGAAGGCGTCGTACCGCTTGTCCTCCGTGTCTCCTCCTGCTGTCCGTGGACAGTGGGCAGACACGTCTGGGCACTCGCCCCGGGGCTGCAGGGACTCGGATCCCACCCAGAGGCCAGGCCCTGGGCATCTGAGGCGGCTGCTGGTGCGAGGGGAGGCGGAGGCCCGACTGCCCCAGGGGCCCGGCGCGGCGTAAGGCACGTTTGCGAAACACTCAGTCTTCACACAGAGACCCCGGGCTGGCTCCGTGGGCGGGGGCTAGTACAGGCTCCGGTGCCATATTGCTCGGGGCCTGCGGCGCCCCCTGCGGGGAGAGGAGGACTCAGTCACAGCCAATCCGGCCCGCCCCAAGGGCTGCTCTGGACCTCACATACCTGCGCCAGGAGGCAGGCGGAAGGCGGGAGGTCAGAGGTCGGTGACCTTGTTCTCGAGCGCGGCCGCAATCTGCTGCAGGCGGAAGGCCAGCTGCATCTTCTGGGCAGCGGGGTCCTCCTCCAAGGCGTTGATGATCTGAGGGAGGGTCCTGTCAGACCACGGCCAGGGAGGGGCTGCCCGAGCACCTGCCCCCGGCAGCGGGGACCCTACCTCATCATAGTACTTGTGCGTGTACTGGTAGAGCTGGTGCAGTGCCACGAGGGTGTTCAGCGAGTCCGTGTGGGCCTGGGGTGACGGTGAGGTGGGAGGACAGCACGGGCTTCAGAGGTGCCTCTCCCCGCCTCCCCCCCCCGCCCTGCTGGGAGGGCCGAGGCCAGCAGGCACGTCCCCGGGAGCCCCTTACCCGGGAGATCTCTGCCAGGTGTGTGTTCATGTCCTGGTCGCTGACCTGCACCATCTGCCGGATCCCCTTGTAGTAACTGTGGGAGGGGCCAGTCACAGGGGTGGGGGGATGGGACAGGGAAGAGGGCCGGTTACAGGAGTGGGGGAGGATGGTTACACGGTGAGGAGGGGGATGGTCACAGGGGCGGGGGGGGATGGTTGTGGGGAGATGGGACGGGGGAAAGGGCCGGTTACAGGGGCGGGGGGGATGGGACGGGGGAAGAGGGCCGGTTACAGGGGCGGGGGGAGGATGGTTACAGGGTGAGGAGGGGGATGGTCACAGGGGCGGGGGGGGATGGTTACAGGGTGAGGAGGGGATGGTCACAGGGGCGGGGGGGATGGTTACAGGGTGAGGAGGGGGATGTTACAGGGGCAGGGAGGGATGGTTGTGGGGGGGATGGGACGGGGGAAGAGGGCCGGTTACAGGGGCGGGGAGGATGGTTACAGGGTGAGGAGGGGGATGGTTACGGGATGGTTACAGGGGTGGGGAGAGAGACACAGAGAGGTGGGGAGGGGGATGGGACGGGTCAGAGAGGGTGACAGAGGCTGGGCCTTGGAGGGCTGCCCAGCGGGGCCCCTCCCAGCCAGGGGCCGTGGGGGCACTCACTCCTCCACCATCTTCTTGTAGGTGGAGATCTCCTTGGCGTAGAGCAGCTTGTTGCTGGGAGAGTCCTGTGAGGAGGCAGCACGTGACCCCCGGCCGCGGCCTGCTCTGCCCAGCACCCTCAGTGCCCTCACCAGGACGGCTCTGGCCCAGAGCAGAGGCGAGGGGCCCTTTTCTCTGCCAAGAGCCGCCTGGATATTTCTGACATCATCCAGAGGCTGTGTGGCATCATCCACTTAGAAATCAGCCTGCGGTAGCAAATCCCAGTCCCCAGTGCTGCCCGCAGGAGCCGAGGCAGGGCCAGGCCAAGCACCATGGCCACCCTGTCCCGGGGCTGGAGGGTGCCTGCATCCCACCACAGTGGATCTGCTAATGCAGGCTCCGGGGAGTGACCTGGGTGGGGCTCCCGCTCCCAGGCGTGGCCTGGCCCAGCCCCCGGGTTGTGGGTGTTGGGAAGTGAACCAACAGATGGAATTCCCGTCCCTCTGGCCCCCATCTCTGCCTTTCAAAGAAAATCTTTAAAACAAGCAAGGTTTATATTCTCCGTGTTTTGTTATCTGTAGTAACACGGTTTCCCGCCCTGTGCAAGGGCAGGCCCAGTCTCCACCTGCCCTGTCCATCCCGCGTGCCCACCGCACAGCCCCCGCGTCTCCGCCACACCTGCCCAGGCCGTCCCCCACTCACGCGGCTGAGCTTGTGCTCTGTGCGCGTGCAGGCGTCCATGAAGGTCTGCGCGATGACCGACAGCGAGGCGTCCACCACCTCGTGGACGTGCACATCAAAGATGAAGTGCGGGTTCTTGAGGATGTTCACCCAAAACCGGAGTGGCAAGCTGAGCAGAGTGACACAGGGTGAGGGGACCTCCGTGAGCTGGGCAGGGCCATGGGGACCTGTGTGAGCCGGGCAGGGCCGCGGGGACCAGCGGGGGCGAGGGGCTGTGTGACCGGGCAGGGCCGCGGCCAGCCAGCGGCCACACCTATTGGTCTTCCAGATGTGAATGGTGTCCTCGTCCTTGATGTCATGCTTCTCCGCCTGCTCGTCCAGGAAGTCAAAGAAGTACTTGACGGCGGGGGGCACCGCGTGCCGGGGCGCCAGCACGCTCTGGAAGAAGTTGTCCACGAACTGCTGCAGCGTGCCCTGTGGGGGGGCGGCTCCGTGAGGCCCCTGGCGGCTCCCGGGCGTGCCCGCCGGGCGCCACGCGGCCCACCTTCACCGACAGCAGCCGCGTCAGGTAGATTTCGGTGATGGCCTTGGTGCGCTCCTTATCCTTCACGCTGCCGCGCTTGGACTTGCCCTCGTCCACCTCCTCCGCTGGCCGCACCAGGTGCCACACGCGGTTCTCCTCTTCCAGGAGGGCATGGCCTGTGGGCAGCACACAGCGTGGGCGGTGTGGGCAGGGGGCTGGGCGCTGCGCCCCCTGGGGCTGGGCGGGATGGGGGCAGGAGGAAGGGACTCACGCTCCCCGGGGAGGTCCTGCTGGCTGTCCTCCGGCTGCTGGGAGACCCCCACCTTGGACAGGATGAGGGTGGCCCCGTCCCGGACCTGGGGAGCACAGTCAGGAGGGTAGGCTGCGGCCCCTCTGTGCCGCCCCGGCCTGGCCCGGCCCGGCCACTCACATTGTAGTGCATCAGCGTGTTGATGCGCTTCCACCGGCCCTCCCGCTGCGAAGTCAGGTCCAGGTCAGACAGGATCTGGGCTGTGGACCCCGGACGCCACTCTGTGGGAGGACAGAGCCCAGCTCCTGGGACCCTCCATCCAGGCAGCCCCCTCCCGGGGCACGGGTGTCCAGGTGGGCTGTGGCCACACTCACCGAGCACCACGCTGTCCGGCTTCGGCCAGCAGGAACAGGGCTGCGTGCGGTACACCTGGTCGATGATCTTCTCCTTCACCTGGGAGATGGTGTCGCAGTTGAGGACCTTGACGGGGACGGCATCCACGCCTTCGTCCTGGACAATCACGCTCACCGTCTGTGGGGCAGGGGACAGGCGTGAGGGCCCCACTTCAGCTGCTGCTCCAGGGCACCCAGGGTGACCCAACCTTCTCCTCCTGGCTCAGCCAGCTTGCGGGGAGGGGCTCGCTCACCCAGAGGGCACCTGTCGCACACCCCTGCGTCCTGACCCACATGTGCACACAGCTCACACAGACACGACAGGTGCTAGCCCCGCCCCCGCCACGGCCTGGCTTGAGGCTCAGGGCCAGACCCCCGGCCCTCCCTGAGCACAGGACACACGTCAGCCGCAGAGCACAACACGCAGGGAGAATGTACTCTCTCACACACCACTGCACGGGGCAATCGCCCACCGGCCCTGCCCTGGATGCCAGGCACGCTCGGCCAGCACTCAGCCTCCAAGGACCCCGGGGCTCACCAGGGGCGTGTACTCCACGTCGTCCCCGAGCAGCCCGGTGTCATTCAGCGTGTACTTGGCTTTCTTCTGCACGGCGTCCACAGGGCCCTTCTCCACCTGGTGCTTGATGGCCTTGAAGAGCTTGTACAGGGGCTCGCCAGCACTGTCCTGCAGGGCGAGGGGCAGTGTGGGTGCAGGGGCCCTCGGAGAGGGCGTCCCCCGCTGGCACTGTCCTGCAGGGCGAGGGGCAGTGTGGGTGCGGGGCACGGGGGCCCTCGGAGAGGGCGTCCCCCGCCGGCACGGTCCTGCAGGGCGAGGGGCAGTGTGGGCGCAGGGCACGGGGGCCCTCGGAGAGGGCGTCCCCCACCGGCACTGTCCTGCAGGGCGAGGGGCAGTGTGGGCGCGGGGCGCGGGGAGGGCGTCCTGGGGGTGGGACCCACCTTAAGGTACTGGTACAAGCAAATGGACATCCAGTTGGACAGCATCCTCTCCACCACCGTCTCAGACCTGGGGTACAGAGAGGCCTGTCCCAGGGGTCCCTGGTCCCCCCAAGGTTCAGCTGGCTCTTCTAAGCCCCTGACCACCCTCACAGCTCCAGCCTGGGCTCAGAGGGGTGCCGTCAGCTGGTGCTGGGCACACAGCAGCGGCTCCCCCATGCCCCAAGCACTGCAGGTCACAGCAGCGGAGCAGCCCCGGGCACCCACGCACCTGCGCAGCATGAGCTTGGGGTTCTTGGCCACCACGTACTGCTCCATGAGCTCCAGGAAGAGCGTGCGCATGATGTCGGTGTAGTACTCCAGCTTCCCGTGCAGCGCCACCGTCAGCAGCGACGCGAAGTACACCTTGGCTCGGGCCGAGAACTCCCGCTGGTTCTCCAGGGTGTGGATGAACTGTGGGGCCGGGAGGCTCAGAGGCCGGCGGTGCCCCCCTCCCCGAGCCCACTCCCCGCCCCCCGCAGCCCCAGGGGCTCACGTTGATGAGGAAGGACTTGCTGTTGAGCAGGTTGGAGAACTGGTAGAGGGCCTGCTCCACGGCGGGCCGCCGGGCCTCGGGGATGTCCAGCTTGCCCGTGATCATCACGTCCTTGTCGCCGTCCTTGGAGGGCAGGAAGAAGACGCGGTCGGTGTAGGTCTTGTAGTCCAGCACGGGGATGCCGGCCTCGTGGACGTCGTTGGTCTGGTCTTCCATCTCGATCATCAGGTCTGCAGGGAACGCAGGGTGAGGCGCCCGGCCACCCTCCCTGGCCCCTGCCCGCCCGGGGCCCTGCCCGCAGCCCACCCGTGAACTCCTTCTTGCAGCGGTCACGCACGCTCTCCTCCAGGCCCTCCAGCTGCGACCGGATCTTTTCGTACTCGCGCTCGGCCTGCTGGCTCTTCCTCCTGCGGGCACAGGAGGGCGGGCACGTGATGCTGGCGGGCCTGGGCCGGGGAGCCTGGCTCGGGGGCGTCTCCTGCGCGGGGCAGTGGGCTCACCAGTAGCAGTAGACGGACACAGCAATGACGGCCACCATGGGCACCATGACCAGCGGCAGGATGAGGCTGAGTGGCACGTCACTCACACGCGTGTCGTACTCCACACGGCCCAGCACCCACTCGCGGGAGCCAAACTTCACCTGCGTGGAGGAGCAGGCTCAGGGCGGGCGTGGCTCCCACCAGGACCCCCGCCCACCGCCCGCCGCTCACGCACAATGAACTCAGGCAGGTTGTGCGCTGTGTCCCGCTTCTGCCGCCGCTTGGGTGGGGGCTGCACCTCCGGGGGTTCACAGTACAGGTCCGTCTCGGTCAGCGTCTTCATGACGCAGCGCTCAGCGCCCACAAAGGCCTCAGCCTCGTGCAGCGTCATGGCCTTGTTCAGGTTGGTGCCCTGGGCAGGGGGGCAGGGTCACTGTGACCGGGGGTGGGGTGGGGTTCCTGACCCGGCCACCCAGGCCCCGAGTCATTGTTACCGGGGGAGGGGGGTTCTTGACCCGGCCACCCAGGCCCCAGGTCATTGTTACTGGGGGAGGGGGGGTTCTTGACCCGGCCACCCAGGCCCCAGGTCATTGTTACTGGGGGGGTTCCTGACCCGGCCACCCAGGCCCCGGGTCATTGTGACTGGGGGGGCGGTTCCTGACCCGGCCACCCAGGTCCCGGGTCATTGTGACTGGGGGGGCTGGTTCCTGACCTGGCCACCCAGGCCCTGGGTCATTGTGACTGGGGGGGTTCCTGACCCAGCCACCAGGCCCCGGGTCATTGTGACTGGCGGGGTTCCTGACCCGGCCACCCAGGCCCCAGGTCTGTGGCTCTCCTTACCCGGGCGTGGATGAGCTTGTTGACCTGCTTCTTAACGCCACCTGTGAAGTTCTCGAAGGTGGGATCGGCCACGTACTCGAAGGCACCGGCCTCCGTCCTGAGCAGGGCACGGTGCCCGTCCATCTGAATCAGCACCGTGAGGTTGTAGGCCTCGGGCTCCTCGGGCACGGCCGGGGACAGGAACACCACCTTGGTGTCGTTGTGGAACACGTATTCCGTGCCCGTGACCTGCGGGCCAGACCGGGCCATCGGTCCACTCGGCACACACCCTGCCTGCCCACCCAGGACGCCCCCGCTGGCCAGCACTGGCGCTCAGCCTTGGCTCCCACCAGGACTGACCGTCACGGGGTGTAGGGGTCCGGCCTCCCGCCGCTGTCTCCAGGACTGCAGGGGCTCGGCGATGACCACCATGGCAAACTTCTGGATCAGGCTGAAGCCGTGCCCCGTGACGTTGATGCTCCGGCCGCCACTGGGGGAGGGTACAGGGCAGTGTCTTGAGGCCTGGCCAGGTAGGGGAGGTGCCTAGCCGGCTCCAGGGCGCACCCTGCAGGCTGTGTCCCCCCCACCAGCTCCCACCCCCTCCCTGGCAGGTCTGTGTGGGTGTGCAGAGGTGGCTGGGTCAGAGCATGCTGGGACCAGGTGTCTTAAGTCACAGGCTGGGGGGAGGGGGCTCACAGGGCCCAGCGAGGACCCTGCCGAGACTGCCCGCCTCGATCCTGGGAGCGAGCCCGTCGGGGTGTGTGGGGTTTCCTGTGGACTTCTCCCACTGGGGTGGGGTGGGGATGGCCCCAGCCACACCTGACAAAGCTTCGCAGTGGCTCAAATGCCCGCAGCACTGGGTTCTCCCGGTAGGTGAAGGAGACGCCGGGGCTGGGCACGAGGGAGCCCCCGTAGAAGATCTCAAGGGGCACCTCGCCCAGAGCCGCCTGGGGGCCGGTGACGCACTGCAGCTGCGCCCCAAACTTCGTCCTGGGGTGGGAGGTGCCAGTCAGTGGGATGCCCCTGCCAGGGCAGACGCAGGGTCGGGCCCCCACCCTGTCGGCAGGCAGGGCCAGTCAGACGTGGCGGCCGCGGTGACACCCACACTTTACAAGGAACGTCACTGAGGGTCACCCGCACGTCCTCTTCGGATCCTGTGTCCAGGTGCGTGCCACTGATGGTCAGCGTGGTGCCGCCTGCCTGCGGCCCCTGCCTGGGCTCGACGCTGAGGGGCTGGGGCTGCTGCAGGGGTAAAGGTGCACACGGGTCAGGGCCGGGGGCAGCCCAGCCCAGGCTTGGCTGCACAGGCCAGGGCTGCCCCAGGTCCTGAGGGCCAGGCGCTTACCTGGTAGGTGAACTGGACGCTGGGAGGCGAATGGCCAAGCTTCCCGCTGACGTCTACTTCGACACCCCCGGTGCAGGGCGCCTCTGCGGCCCCAATCACGCACACGATCCTGTGGGACAAGGAGGGTCACCAGGCCCCGCCCATGCCGCCCACTCCAACCCCGCAGGCCCACACTGCCCTTCTGTTCCCCAGCCTCTCGTTCTCCTCCTCAGCAGGCCCCGGCACCCCAGGGTGGGGGCTGACCTGGCCAACTGGCTGCAGCACGCACTCACCGGGTGGACACGGAGTACAGTTCTGGCTCAAAGACACAGTCCTGGCCAGCCACGGTGACCCTCTGCACGTCGTCTGCTCTGATACCCAGGTTTGACCCGTGGATGGTGACCCGGATGCCGCCGCCCAGAGGGCCTGTCTCAGGCTGGATCTGGGGCGGGCAAGGACCTGGTGAGATGGGGGCTCTGGCAGGCGGCCGCGGGGGTGGGCGAGGGCCGGGCCGCGAGGCTCACCTTGGTGATGACGGGCGGTGGGCACTCGGAAGTGGCGTTGCTGCACAGGGCCTCGTACACGCACCTGCCCTGCCCACCGCACCACACGCACCTGTAGGCAGGGTCGGCGGCCAGGCACAGGCTGCAGTCGCTGCGGCCGAAGGAGCAGTTGTACAGGGTCACTGCAGAGGAGAGCGACGGTCAGCCAGGGCGCCCTGCACCCCAACGGCCCGCCCCTGGGCCCCACCCCCGGGCCCCACCCACCTTGCAGGCGACTGTCGATGTTCTTGCCGTAGGACTTGACATACAGGTGCAGGGGCAGGGTCTCATTGGCGTCGTGGGACAGCTGGGGGGACACACAGGGACACACTGCACGCCCTGCCCTTACCCGGAAGGGTGGGGGCCGCTCACAGCCGAGGGCAGCACAGGGAGGCATCCAAGGGGCCAGAAGCCGGTGGGTGGGGGATGCTCTGAGTGAGACACGCTGGCCGCTCTGAGCACCTTCCAGAGAAGGGGACGAGGACAGGACCCCCGTGTCTGGGCTCTGACCTGGGACTTCCCGACAGCCCCTCCCTCACACTCCTGGAGGTCAGGGCCCCCAGGAGCCCCCAGGCCCAGCAGCCTGGCCTGCAGCCATACCTTCGGGGTTTGAAAGAAGAAGACCCCTGGCTCCTGCATGGTCACCGGCTCCTCAAACTTCAACAGGTCGCTGCCCACGTACAGGGAGGAGCCCTGTGGACAGCACAGTCAGGAGCCCGGCCCCAGCTTCGGTGCCCGAGTGCCTCCACGGCACGGACGCGCTCCCTGCCCCACGCCTCCTGGGCACGTGGAGGGCCTGCCTCGACTGACCACTCGGACCCCTCTGCCACCCGCCCCCAGCTGAACAAGGCCCCCAGCCCACTCCCACACCTCAGGAGGAGGCCGCCCAGCCCCTGCATGGACGGAACCTGCCCGTGTCCTGCTCTGCCTCACCCAGGCCCCGCGCCCTCCCAGCCCTGCTCTGGCCTCCTGCCTCCTGGACACTCTCCCTCACGGCCGGGCTCTAGTCAGGGAGGACAGGGGTGGGCCGCCCTCAGCAAGCCCCACCAGCACCTCCCCCACCTTCACTGTGTCCAGGTTCTTGCCCTGGAAGGTCACGGCCGTCTCGTGATTCATGGGGACCACCAGAGGACTGGGGTTCAGGAACTGTGGGCAGTTGTCCTCCTAGGAGAGAACGAGGCTGGCAGGATGTGCGCCTGGCCACCGCCCCCCGGGCCTGGGCCGCGCCCCGCGCCCTCACCATGTGGGCGCGCACGATGCCGTCCTCGGGGTTGGGCGAGGCCTCCCGGCACTCGTGGTAGCGCAGGTCCCATTGGCAGGTCCAGCGGTTGCTCGCACAGGAGATGCACCTGGAAGAGAGGCTCATGAGGGGCGCCAGGGCTGGAGGGGCCGGGGGAGGGTGTGGGGCAGGACTCACGGCAGCTTCTCCACCAAGCTCATGGCCTCCCGGCAGTCGTAGAACGGGTACTCGTGGGAGGTGAGGGAGACGTTGCCATGTCTGAAGAGCAGCTGGATGGTCACGGCCACGTGGTCTAGGGTGCAGGCAGGGGGTCAGGGCCAGGGAACAGGAGCCTCCCCAGGGCCAGCTCCTCACCCCAGCAGAGGCTGAGGACAGCACTGTCTCTAAGCCTGAGGGCCTTGTGTGGTCACCCTGGTCTGCAGGCCTGCAAGTGAGTCCAGGCGGGGGCCCCCACCCTGGCTCGGCCGTGGGCTCAGCTGGGCCTGCTGCCTCCATCAGATCTCAGGGCTGGGCTTGCCCTTCTCTCCAGGGCCCTGCCGCTTTGCTCTGTCTGTCTCTGCCAGCACAGAGCTGTGGCTCCTAGAGTCTGGGCGGGAGGCTTGCTAGGTCCCTGCCTGCGCCAGTGTGTCCCCACAGTCCCCAACACTCGGGAGACAGGACCGGGCCCCAGCCTCTAGGGGCAGCCCGACCTGTCTCAGGCTGGACAGGGCAGGGAGGGCACGAGGGGCTGCACACAGAACACCCCCATCACAGGTCCCACCACCCACAACCCACACTTTCCTGGAAGGCCTGCGCTAGGTCAGGGAGGGCTTCAGGGTCTTCAATGGGCAGGCAGGGTGCCCGGGGGCCCACCCACGCCCGAGGGGCCTCACCCTCGCCGGGCCTCGTGCTGGGGATGCTGCTCGGGGAGTTGCAGACGACGGTGTCACCTTCCACGCGGGCAGGGTGTGGCGGTGACGCGCCGAAGAGGCACAGCAGCTCGTCGTCTGCACTCAAGTCGGGGAGGGGGCTGACAGTCAGCTGCACCTGAGGGAGGGGCCGTGTGGCTAACCCCGGGTCCCCCCGACCACCCCACCCCACCCTGCATCCTGCCTGTCTGCAACCCGGCTCCATCGCAATGCAACCCGCACGGGGCCTGGTCTGCCTGGACACACAGGAGCCCCACTCTTGACTGCCCTGGTGCAGGGGCCATGGGGGCCCCACAAAAGGATGACCTCCCACATCCTGCATGCTCAGCATCTAGCGGCCAGGCCAGAAGGGAGATGGGGGGTCGCCCCCGGCCCTGCCTCTGCACTGCCCCGCCTCCACTGCCCCCACGCACCTCCCCCTGGGCCCGCCGGCTCATATTCTGCGGCTGGGCGTCGGTGATGGCCACACAGGACTTGTCCCAGCTCCACAGCCAGTGGCCGGTCTCCTCGGCCCGTGGGCACTCAGCCCTCCTGGTGCACCTGCAAGAGCAAGGGGCAGCCTCAGTCCTGGTCCCTGGAGACCCACCTGTGAGCCTTCAGGCCTGGCACAGGTGCTGGGGACCCGGCCCATGGCCATCCAGAACCAGGGTACAGGTGCTGGGAGACCCAGAGCACAGGTGCTGGGGACCCGGACTGCAACCCTCCAGGCCTAGGCACAGGTGCTGGGGACCCGGCCCATGGCCATCCAGAACCAGGGTACAGGTGCTGGGAGACCCAGGGCACAGGTGCTGGGGACCCGGACTGCAACCCTCCAGGCCTAGGCACAGGTGCTGGGGACCCGGCCCATGGCCATCCAGAACCAGGGCACAGGTGCTGGGAGACCCAGGGCACAGGTAACTAGGGGACCCGGCCTGCAACCCTCCAGGTCTAGGCACAGGTGCTGGGGGACCCAGCCTATGGTCATCCAGGACCAGGGCACAGGTGCTGGGAGACCCAGGGCACAGGTAACTAGGGGACCCAGCCTGCAACCCTCCAGGCCCAGGCACAGGTGCTGGGGGACCCGGCCTGTGGCCATCCAGGAGCAGGGCACAGGCACTGGGGGACCTAGTCCGTGGCCATCCAGGACCAGGGCACAGGCACTGGGGGACCCGGCCCGTGATCCTCCAGAACCAGGGCACAGGTGCTGGAGGACCCGGCCCATGGCCGTCCAGGCCCATGCACAGTACTGGGGGACCCAGGGCACAGGTAACTAGGGGACCCAGCCCGTGGCCATCCAGGACCAGGGCACAGGTACTAGGGGACCCGGCCTGCAACCCTCCAGGCCTAGGCACAGGTGCTGGGGACCCGGCCCATGGCCATCCAGAACCAGGGCACAGGTGCTGGGAGACCCAGGGCACAGGTAACTAGGGAACCCGGCCTGCAACCCTCCAGGCCTAGGCACAGGTGCTGGGGGACCCAGCCTGCAACCCTCCAGGCCCAGGCACAGGTGCTGGGGGACCCAGCCTGTGGCCATCCAGGACCAGGGCACAGGTGCTGGGGGACCCAGCCTGTGGCCATCCAGGACCAGGGCATAGGCACTGGGGGACCTAGTCCGTGGCCATCCAGGACCAGGGCACAGGCACTGGGGGACCCGGCCTATGATCCTCCAGAACCAGGGCACAGGTGCTGGAGGACCCGGCCCATGGCCATCCAGGCCCATGCACAGTACTGGGGGACCCAGGGCACAGGTAACTAGGGGACCCAGCCCGTGGCCATCCAGGACCAGGGCACAGGTACTAGGGGACCCAGCCCGTGGCCATCCAGGTGCTGGGGGACTCGGCCCAGGTGCTGGGGGACCCAGGCCCGGTGCTCACCGTCCCTCGATGACACACCAGCCGCAGTATGGGTCTTGGGAGTCGCGGCACTGCGCGCAGGAAGAGTAGCTCAGGCATTCCTGCACCGGGAGCCGGAACACCTGCGGACGCAAGTGAGGGGCTCTGGCAGCCACACGGGAGCCCCCAAGACCCCCTTTATGGGACCACCAGCTCAACCCCACTTTGTCTCTGTGCCACGAAAGCCTTGGACACTAACTCGGTTCTACATGGCCACAGCCCATTAGCCACTCATGGCTCACAACACAGATGGGGTGGGGGTCCCGGGCATGGTGCCCACCCTGGCCAGCCCAGGCCCTCCGAAGGCCAGCTGGAGGGGTTCCTGCCATCTCCGGAAGCTCAGGGGCCCCTCACATTCCTGTCCTCCCACAAGGGACACACACTCCGACACTGGCCCTGGGCAGAGGCCAGTCAGTCAGGGAGACGTCGCTGAGACCAGGACAGACAGGCAGACAGCTGCAGGCAGGCCCAGGAACCCAGCCCCGGGCAGGCGCAGCCCGAGGCTCCTCGCCCTGTCCTGCTCTGCTCACCCGAAGTCTCTCACAGTGGCCTGGGGGACGGCCTCGGGGCTGTGTCCAGCATACCTTGTCCTGCGTCATGGCGTACAGACTGGCCAGATCCCCAGACAGCACCAGGTCCTGCTTGATCCTCTTGTTGATCTCCACGAGGATGGAGCCATACTCGGTGGAGGTGCCATCCGGGGCGAGGTACACCTGTGGGCACAAAGGCAGGGCGTGGGGGGGCGGTACACGGAAGGGTCCTCCAGGCCACCCCCTGCCCCAGCCTAGGGTCTCACCTTGAGGATCTGGCCGTCAGAGGTCCCCAGGAAGGCAACGGTGTGGTTGTTCTCAGCGGTCACCACCACGGCCGTCAGGTTCAGGCCCCCGCGCTGCAGCACAGCTGTGGCCGTGAGTCCATCACGGCTGCCCAGTGGGTAGGGCAGGTGCTCCGAGCCACATGGGAAGTTCTTACTGGCATCCTGTGAACACAGTGTCAACGGCAGGCGCTGATCCCCCACCAGGTTCCCCTACCCCCGCACACGAGGCCCCCAGACCCATCCCCAAGAACAAGGCTCCTACAGCAGGGACTATGTCCAATGCTGGCCCCGATGCCCAGCACAGGGCACACACACACACACACGCACATATACACAGCTGTGCCCCGATGCCCAGCACAGGGCACATGCACACACACACGCACATACACACAGCTGTGCCCCGATGCCCAGCACAGGGCACACACACACACACACGCACACAGCTGTGCCCCGATGCCCAGCACAGGGCACACGCACACACACACACACACAGCTGTGCCCCGATGCCCAGCACAGGGCACACGCACACACACACACACACCTGTGCCCCCATGCCCAGCACAGGGCACACACACACACACACACAGCTGTGCCCCCATGCCCAGCACAGGGCACACACACACACACACACAGCTGTGCCCCCATGCCCAGCACAGGGCACACACACACACACACAGAGCTGTGCCCCCATGCCCAGCACAGGGCACACACACACACACACACACACAGCTGTGCCCCGATGCCCAGCACAGGGCACACACACAGAGCTGTGCCCCCATGCCCAGCACAGGGCACACACACACACACACACACAGCTGTGCCCCCATGCCCAGCACAGGGCACACGCACACACACACACACACACACAGCTGTGCCCCCATGCCCAGCACAGGGCACACGCACACACACACACACACAGCTGTGCCCCCATGCCCAGCACAGGGCACACGCACACACACACAGCTGTGCCCCCATGCCCAGCACAGGGCACACACACACACACACACACACAGCTGTGCCCCCATGCCCAGCACAGGGCACACACACACACACACACACACACAGCTGTGCCCCCATGCCCAGCACAGGGCACACACACACAGCTGTGCCCCCATGCCCAGCACAGGGCAAACACACACACACACAGCTATGCCCCCATGCCCAGCACAGGGCACACACACACACACAGCTGTGCCCCATGCCCAGCACTGGGCACACACACACACACAGAGCTGTGCCCCCATGCCCAGCACAGGGCACACACACACACACACACACACACACAGCTGTGCCCCCATGCCCAGCACAGGGCACACACACACACACACACACACAGCTGTGCCCCCATGCCCAGCACTGGGCACACACACACACACAGAGCTGTGCCCCCATGCCCAGCACAGGGCGCACACACACACACAGCTGTGCCCCCATGCCCAGCACAGGGCACACACACACACACACACACACAGCTGTGCCCCCATGCCCAGCACAGGGCACACACACACACACACACACACAGCTGTGCCCCCATGCCCAGCACAGGGCACACACACACACACACACAGAGCTGTGCCCCCATGCCCAGCACAGGGCACACACACACACACAGAGCTGTGCCCCCATGCCCAGCACAGGGCACACACACACACACACACTCACACACAGCTGTGCCCCCCTGCCCAGCACAGGGGGCACACACACTCACACACAGCTGTGCCCCCATGCCCAGCACAGGGCACACACACACACACACACACACACAGCTGTGCCCCCATGCCCAGCACAGGGCACACACACACACACACACACACACAGCTGTGCCCCCTGCCCAGCACAGGGCACACACACACACACACACACACACAGCTGTGCCCCCATGCCCAGCACAGGGCACACACACACACACACACACACAGCTGTGCCCCCTGCCCAGCACAGGGCACACACACGCACACACACACGCACACAGCTGTGCCCCCATGCCCAGCACAGGGCACACACACACACACACACACACAGCTGTGCCCCCCTGCCCAGCACAGGGCACACACACACACACAGCTGTGCCCCCATGCCCAGCACAGGGCACACACACACACACACACACACACAGCTGTGCCCCCCTGCCCAGCACAGGGCACACACACACACTCACACACACACAGCTGTGCCCCCATGCCCAGCACAGGGCACACACCCACGTACCAGCCCGTGGTTGCCGCACTGGATCTCGCCATGGAAGGGCTTGTAGAACAGGTCGCTGCGGCCCGCCTCCCGTGTGCCCGCGTAGCAGGCCTTGCGGGTGGCCTCCATCTTGGTGTGGACCTCATCCAGTGGGAAGAGGCAGAGGCCTGCCCCGGGCCCTCCGTGGCCACCTCGGCCATCCCGACTGAAGACAGCGTACAGCACCCTGCCAGCACCCGGCGTGGCCACGGAGGCCGCCAGACAGGTGCCAAAGGCGGGGGCCTGGGGGTCGCTGGGGTCGTGGCACTGCAGGTCCACCTCCAGGTAGGAGTAGTAGAACGGGTCCTGTCTGCACATGCGTGCCAGCAGCGTGCGGTTGTGGGCTGGGTGCTTGTCCTGCTGGTTGAAGACGAAGAAGACGTAGGGGCCGTCCTCGAAGGCCGCCACGAACTGCTGTGTGCTGGTGGACAGGTAGCCGGCCTTGTAGGTGGCGTGGTCCGTGTAGGCCTCGAAGGCCTCCCTGCCCTCGGCCCGGTCCAGCAGGCGGGTGCTCACGATGATGCCATTGTCGTGCGGCCCGTTGCCTTTGCCCACAAACAGCACGCGCTCCCCGCCGGGGCCCGTGGCGCTAACCAGCCCCACGGTGGCCACGCCCTCGTCATTGCTGGCCACAAAGGACTTCTCGCCGCTGCTGTCTTCATAGAAGAGGCGCGTGGAGATGTTGCTGAGGGCCCGCAGGGCACAGATGCCCTTGAAGAGGCTGCCACACTCCACCAGGCGCCTGCCAGGAGGGTCGAGCAGCAGCAGCTGGTTCACGTTGTCGGTCAGCACGGCCTCATGGCACTGGCTCGCCTCGATGGGCGGCGTGCACTTCTTGTTGTCCAGGGCCGGGCCTGTGTTTGCCTTCTGCTCCAGCTGCAGGTCGGCACTCAGCTGGTAGAGCGCGTTCACGGCCCCCACGTACACCACGCCGGAAGCCTGGTCCACGGCCAGGTGGTTCAGCTCTGTGTCACTGTGGAAGAAGTCCAGTCTGCCAGGCCGCAGGCTTGACCCCATGCCCGCCAGGCCCAGGAGGGTCAGGGCCCAGAGCTGCAGTGCCATTGCCCCCGACAGCCTGTGGGAAAAAAGCAGGGGTCAAGGGAGCCCTAGCCCAAAGGGTGCCTGTGAACACAGGCCAGCGGGCCGTGATCCCAGACTGAGCCGGGGAACCCAGCACCCTTCACACACACACACACACCCCTGTTCCACCTCAGAGCTCCAGGAAACCCACTTCCTAGCCCTTCACCGCGCAGTCTACCTGGTGACCAGGGTGGAGCCACCGCTACTCCACGCCCTGGGAAGCCGAGGCCTCTTCTCCACCTCCAGGTCCAAGGCAACAGGCCAGGGCGGAGCCCAGCTCCCCACCCTGTGACTCTCCAAGAAGCTCCAGGCTGTCGGTCGGGGGGCCTTTGGCCCCAGACAACTTGCCCCCATGCACAGGCCCAGGCCGACGGACAAGCCCTGGGGGCACGAGCAGGTGAGCTGTACACCTGTCCTGTACTGACCCCGAGCACAGGCTGGTCCTCGAGGCCTGCTGTGACCAGCTCAGCCAACACACAGGCACTTTCCCCTGTTCCCAGAGTCACCTGCCCCAGCCCCGCCCCACCTGCAGAGCTCTCCCCGGAGGCCTCCCGGACCCCCTTCCAGACCCCTGTTCCCATGGCAGAACCAGCGGGGGAGAAAGTAAGTCTTCTCAACCCCTCCTCGCCCTGCCTCACCCCCCTCCCGGCGCCATGGGCAGAGCCTCAGATGTGGGGGCACAGAGACAGGATCCCAGGAGGGACTTCCAGGGAGCTTTGAACAGCTCCAAACCCAGCAGACGTGGAGGGAGAGCCCTCATGCATGCCCTGGAGTTCAGACCACGAATGGGACGAGTGGGCTAGTGGGCTGCAGGATCTGCCATTCCCTTCCCACTTGCCTCAGGGAATCCAAGAGCAGCTGGCAGGGAGAGCCATTCTGTGCTGGCAGGGAGAGCCCTTCTGTCTCCCTCTGGGGACCCCAGCCCCCAGACCCTCTCTCGTTATCACAGCCTCCCCCCGCTCCTGGATCACCGTCCCAGGATCTAGGCGTCGGCTGCTCCAGACCAGGACGCAGAAACCCCGTGCAGGCTTTGAGTGAAGCTGTGTTCACTGCAACAGGCTGCCTGCTCCTCGCAGACCCTGTCACTCCTCCCAGTCGCTCCTTTATTGCTCAGGCACCCAAGTCGCCCTACAGGCTGTGGCTGTCCCCTCCCGCACGCTGCACCCAGCTCTGAGCTCAGAGGAAAGGTGCCCAACAAAGCCTTCTCGGCGGGGGGAGGCCGAGCTGGTCTGCCACCCTGCTCCCCGCAGACAACCCCTCCAGGTGACCTGGCCTCTGCACAGAACCTGCACCGGGGCTCAGTCCTCACACAAACCCTGGGGACACAGGGTCCAGGAGCCCACCCACAGGTGGGGTGGGGGAGGAGGAAGATGGGGAGACGCGAGAACAGCAAGACTCTCTTGGGGTATCCATGGGTACAGGCCCTCCTGCTACCCCCCCACAAAGGCCCCACTTTCCCCACACCCCCCCGCAGTCCACCCAGCAGTATCAGTCCCCACCAAGCCTGTCCTTCCAGCCTTCCCCACTCACCCACGCCCCGCCCAGCGGGCCGCGCCAGCCACAGTGAGCCCGGAATGAATGGAATGTCCTGGGGCCCAGGGAGGGGGGGAGGAGGAGGAGTGCGTGGGCGGGGCTGCAGCTGGGGCCGCCCAACAGGCGCCCAGGCCCCTGGGCGGGTCTCTACCACAGGGCTAGGCCTGGAGCCCAGGCCAGACAGACAGGGGGACCCTGTGGGCCCCCTTCAGACAATGCTCTCACCCCTGGCAGAAAGATCCAGGCGGCTCCCCCTGCGCCTCTCCTGACTGATGTCAACAGACACCCCTGGGGCAGGCACACCCTGGGTGCTCAGTAAATATCATGTGTGACTAGATCCTGCCACTGACAGCAGCACTGGCCAGACACCCCCACACTGCCCAGGGCTGGCAGAGGGACCCCAGGGGTGGCAGGAGGGAGGGCCTGTGTGTCCACAGGAGGCTCCCGTCTACTTCCTGGACAAATAGGCCTCAGGTGACCTGCCTGCCAGCCTAGGAGCAAAGGGCGATCCACCTGCCGACTAGCAAAACCCTGGCCAGCCGGGCGGCAGGCGCCAGGGACAGCCGGCTGAGCTTCCTGCCTCTGGAGTTCCTGGAACAGGAGGGCGGGCAGGCGGCAGGCACTTCCTGTTTTGAAGTCAGTCCCAGGACCCCCACTTACCGGGCTGGTGGGGGATTTCCTCGAGGCCTCCTTCCTGGCTGAAGTTTGGGGGTGCACGTCCGAGAAGCCACACAAACTGCGGCTGCTGGCCCGGAGAGCTGTACAGGCGCCCTGCCCCCAGCCGAATCCCAGCCGTGCTGTTCCCGGAGCCCAGTGCCACAGTGCCCGTCCCACCTGAGCAAACCTGGCCTCCAGGGAACCAGGGGCCTCAGAATGGCCCCCCCAGTATAGGGAGGCTCCCCACGCCCATCCCAGGGTCACCATGAGCCTGCTCTGGGCACAGGCAGAGCTGTGCACCCCGTGCCCTAGCCCTGGGAGCTCTCCTCCCTCCATCTGGCCATCTGTCCTTCCCTCAGGGCCAGGCTGTGGGAGGGGCTGCAGGGGGATGTGTGTCGTCACAACCCCGCCGGACACAGCCCCAAGGACACCACAAGGGGGTGGTTCAAGACACCTGGAGCCTTGCCATCCACACAGCCCCCGCCACCCACTGCCTTCCCCTGGGCCGAGCGGCCCTACTCACCAAGGCTCCAGTGGTCCGGGGTCAGTCTCTGCTCCAAGCCAGCATCAAGACTCTCTAGGAGGCAAAGGAGAGACAGGAGTCAAGGCAGCAGCCTGGCCTGTGTCCACTTGGGTCCCTGCATCCTCTACCCCACTGCCAGTGCAGCCCCTCCCCCCGACAGCTCCAGCCCCCAGGCCTGGCACCCCCAGTCTGCTCGGGGTCAAGGACTGCCTCTTTTTGCTCTAAGTAGATTGGTAGTAGGCATGTGTATCATGCTGATTGAGATGAGAAAACCAATCACACCCCGACCCTGTAGTGCTACTTACTAGCTGTGTGACCTTGGTCAAGTTACTGGACTTCAAGGTGCCTCATTTTCCAATCTGTGAAATGGAGACAGTGACAGGGAGCGCCCATCAGATAAGCAAGAACCAAGTGAACCAGCTCCCAGGGGCTACACTGTAGCGCTCCTCCGGGCTTGGCTTGCCACTGTATCCTTTCACCACATCCTCTGGCTCCCTAACCCCCAGCCCTGCCCAGGAGGCGCAGACCAAGGGTACCTTGGGGCAGGGTCTTTGAGCCACATTTTTACTACAAAGCCCTGCACCAGAGGACACCGTGGAAAACGGCAGAGCCCAGACCTGCTGTGGTGCGAACTCCACATTGTCCACTGAGGTATAGTCACTGCTGACAGCCCTCCATGGAAACTGAAAGCAGGGGCCAATCTTGGGGGCAAAGTAACTTTCACTGCCATTTAACAACAACAAAAGAAAACCCTCGAGAACATATTCCCATATCACCACCAGTCTGAACTAGGAGAGCTGTGCCCCGTTGGCTCCGTCTCAGGATGTGGCCTTCCAGGCTCTTGGCAACACCCCCTCCCCATAGGTCAGCCCCGGAATCCTGCTCCTGCAAGGGGTCCTCCTCAGGTCCACTCCCAGCCAGGTCAGCCAGCAAACTGCCTCCAGCACCCCTGCTCCAGGCCCAGCCCAACACTCCTCCTCCTGGATCCGCCTCCATGTGCCCTGTGCGACCCCCCCCCCCCCACTGTCCCTACCTGCTCACACCCCTGGACAGCGGGACCCAGGGTGGGGGTGGGGCACACAGGAAACTTGGGCAGCACCTCTGGTGGGGTGGTGGGAATGTCCCTCTGTCCTCAGCCCTGGCTGAGCAGGGAAGGGTTAACCTGCCCAAGGGGCTCGGAGCTGCCAGTGCCAAGGGTTTGGGGAGAGAGTGTCCTTTTGCCCCACACTCAACACAGCCTTTGTGGAAGGAGAACCGTGAAACACAGGGGCCTGTTTCCGAGGCACGGGTTCCTGGGACGGCCCGGTCTCCAGGCCGTGCTGGCTCTGTGCAGCCCCACCAGCCCCCCATGTCTCCTCCGGGGAGATCTTCAGTTCCCAGCAAGCAGCCCTCCACTGGCCCAGGAGCCCAGAGGTGAATCCAGTGAAGCTGGCTTCCCAGTGAACGCTCGGCCTGCGCCTCCAGCCCCCAGCCTCCCAGCCAGGCGGACACAGTGACTGCAGGGCCTGCCACCCGGCACTGTGGAAGGTGGGTGGGGCCAGCTCCCGCCTGCCCCTGCCCTGGCCTCCAGAGGCTGTGGACTTTCCCCCCAGTATCAGACTCCTCAGAGCCAACACTTCCTGGAGCCCGGGACCTGGACTGGTCCCCACTCCCCAGCCGCCTGCCTGCCAGCCCTGCCCTGCCCCCAGCACCAGGGTCTGCCTCCTGCTCCCCAAGACCCCAGTGCAGACTCCTGTGCTGGGTACCCAAGGCCCAAGTCCCCACTGGAGTGACCAACACTGCTGCACACAGGGAGTAGCAACGGCCTGCTCTGTCAGTTCCTAGCTGGGGCTGTGGGTGACCCTGCCAGGCTGCCCTGTGCCTCAGCTTCCCCACGGAGAGCCAAGCCAGTGAGAGGACACACTCACCGCCACTCTGCCTGCTCAAAGGAGGGATCGCGAGCATCACAGAGCAATCGCGCCCACTCCTCCCGTCCCCTAGAGAACTCCTGCCTGTGCTTCAGAACACGACACCGCCCCCCACCCGAGCCCAGTGAACCAGGAAGGTGTGATGGCCTTGAGGCCGGTCCTGTGACCAACACAGCACAAGTGTTTCCTGCCCAGCCAGGGCTGGGGTGGCCCTGGCCTCTCCTGCCCACCCCAGGCCCAGCGGGGGGCAGCGGGAGCCCCTGGCCTTGGGGACTCTGAGACTGCCCTGGCCAGAAGCTGAGCCCTGCCCATTCCCTCCCCTGCCCTCAGGAAATGGCAAACCAAAAGCATCTAATTGAGGTACCTCAGTTATGAGCACCCCCATCCGTGGGTGGGCCTCGGTCCTGGGGAGCCCCTTCCCTGTATCTCAGAGAAGCAGGACTTGGGGCTCCCAGTAAACCACTGCAAAGCAGGAGAGCCCCAGGCAGACCCAGTGCAGAAAGGGGTGCCGGCTGCCAGGACTCAGGCCCAGGCCTGTCCCTGCGTCGGTGGAGGGAGGGCTCCAGCACTTGGCGGGGCCCTCTCAGGGTCAAAGGACAGAAGAGGGTCCCCAGGCACCACACCAGGGGCCTCAGAGGCAGGGCTGTCCGCGGCCAGGAGGAGGAGCACAAAACCTGCCCAGTGCGGAGCCAAAGCAGGAACACAACAGAGCCTCCAGCGCGTCCAAAACAAGCCCGGAGCGCACCGAGCCCCCTCCCTCGCCGTCGCGGTCTCTTGGGGACACCGCGCGGTGACGGCCACGCACACAGCCCGGCCCAGAGGCCGCGGGAGCAGAGCTCAGGCCAGAAGGCCGCCAGAGCTTGGGCCGGGAGGGCCGCCCTCCCGCCGCTCCCAGATAGCAGAGCCCCCTGCGCGGACCTGGGCCGGGCACCCGGGGCCCTGGTGCAGAGCCACCACCACCCCCCGCCCCCGCCCCGCTGCTCCTGGATGCCGGGAGTGTGGGGCAAGGGGGTCTCCCACGCCGCCCCCCACCACGCGCCCGCTGCCCGCCCCCTCCCTGGGGGTCCCCGCAACCTGGGCGCACACCTGGGCGGGGCAAGGAGACTCACTCGGCTCTCCAGGCCCGGGGTCCCCAGGCCACGCCGGGAGGGTCCCTGACCCCGGTAACAATGACGGCGGCGGAGGCGGTCACGTGACGCGGGGAGACCTCCCCTCGGGAGCGCTCACCTGGTGTCAGCCGCGGGAGCGTGGCCGGCCACTCCCGCGGTCCTCCCCGCCCAGAACGGGGCGAGGCGCAGGGCGGCTCCGCCCCCGCCTCAGGGTAGGTGCCGGGGGCTCTTCCCACAGCCCCGCCCCACAGCCCCGCTAGCCAGAGCCTGCGGACACGCGCCCTCCCTCCCCGGCCCTGGCTCCTGCCAGGCCCCAGACGGACCGGGTCAGGGCCCCGACACCGACCTAGGGGCAAAGGTGGGGCGCGGGGCTCCAGGGATGGCTGACGTCAGCCTCAGCGGCTCCCTCCCCATCAGCCCCTGCCTAGGGGTCACCGCATGTAAAGCCCTCCCTGATGGGTGGCAGGGATGAGGTTACCAGCCCAGGACCCTGGCTGTGCTCAGAGAAGCCCCAAGGCTTCCCCAGCCACTGGACTTCAGGACTCCAGGCTCAGGTCCTCCTCCCTCCTGCCGGCCCCCACGGGTCCACCTCTTACAGCCACACAGTGACCAGGGTCCCTGCACCTAGCCCTGACCTTCAGGTGCCTGAGTCTGCCCTGGCCCCTCCCTCCCCAGTGCTAACTGCAGCCTCTGCAGCTGGGGTCCCCACAGTGTCCTCCCATCCTAGCCTCCCCTGGGATATCCAGAGCGCAAGGTGGCGCCCCCTCCCCACACGCACCCCAGGCCTGAAGGGCCACTTCCTCTCAGCACCCTCCCCAGGCCCAGCCGCAGTCACACTGTCCTGCCTGCCCCAGGCTGCCGTGGTCTCCCCACTTCCGTCCCTGCCCACACACAGTCCTCTAGATCAAACAGAGCAGCCGCCACCTCCACCCACTGCCCCCACTCCTGGAGGACCCCTGAGTCAGCCGGCCGAGGGGAGCGGGCCTCCAAGGCCCGCGGGGCACAAATGGGTCCTGTTGCCTCGGACGGGGGTCAGCTCATCAGAAGTGTCCGAACAGCTGCCTGGCCACAGAAGAGGCTCCCGTGGGGACTGGGGACTCAGTTACCCGATGCCTTTCCAGCCTGGAGCTGAGGTCTGCACCCGCCCCTGTCCACCACCCCAACTCTGAGCTCCTCACTCCGCTGGCTGGTCACAGGCCAAGTCCTGACTGCTGCTGCTCGCCAGGGCAGCCCGAGGATCATGGAGGCTGCAGCTGGCCCTGAGCCCTCCTCCCCACGCACAGGAGAGGGGGTGGAGTGGGGGAGGAGGGTGAAGGGGGTGAGAGCCAGAGCAAGCGAGGAGCCAGCAAGGCTGTAATCTCCCTGTCAGTCTGTCAGAGCCTGGACCGCCTCTCCCATCACAGCTGAACCCTACAATTAGCTCGGGGCGCAGTGCCACGCCTGTACGCCCGCCACCCTCCCATACGATCCCAGGGAGGAAGGCGCTCCCGGCTGCGATGCTGAGGGGAGAGCCCAGCCAGCTGGGGCCGTCCTCGGGACAGAGAGCCCAAGGGAGACACAGATCCGGCACTCTGGAATCCTCTCAGAGCTGGACACACCTGGAGCTGGGCTGCAAACAGGCTGCCTCAAGCCTCCTGTCCAGACTGAGCCAGGGGCTTGGCAGAGGCGCTGGGCAGGGTCTAGAGTCCAGGCTGAGAGTGAGACGGGGGCAGGGAGGGCCCTGGGAAGTCAGGGCAGTCAGGGGTTTCCCAATGAGGAAATTCTCCAGCTCAGGGTTGGGGCAGGGCGGAAGCAGGAGGTGATACAGTGTGTGGGGTTGGTGACCAGGACTTGGGGGGAAGGGT